ACGTAACATGGCGCATGCGTGCTTTTGCCTAGTAACCATCAAATTCACAAGCACGCATGCGCCATGCTACGTAACGATACATGGCCAGTGGAAAATAGGCTTTATCGTCCACACGTATCCAGCAAAAACGCATAATGTAGCCGCAAACTTTTGAAAACGGTCTCGAGAGTGGAAACTTTTAAAAACTCGTCGAATCTAGACACGTGTGGACGCACTGTAACCGGAATGACTTAAAAACGCTGACGTAAATCGATGAAATATGCAGCATTTTCATGTCATTTAAGTAAGGCAACATTTATTAACGCCTAGCGCAAGTCAAAGACGTATAGACAAAGTTAAATAGCATTTGTGTAACATCAATATGGCAAATGAGTAATACGATTACTTCATTATGCATTCTGTATAGCGAAAATCAATAACGCAAAGCGAATGTCAAAAGTACAATAGCATGATAACAAATGACATTAACAACCTATAATATATCATTAGCGCTACGAATATTGTGCGGTCCTAAAAACGAAGTGCTCCCCAATATGAGGTTTTAAAAATTGGTCTGTCTGTGTGCGTATACACTTGTAAAACTGTAAACATGGCGGAAAGAGCACGCAGAGCACGGATCTCGCAAGAAGACAGAGAAAGGTTGATATGTGCATTTGAAAAACCTTTAGAAGACTACCTTGAAATGGCAGACACGTCAAGAACAAATCGTTCAACAGCCAGAGGGATTATTTGTAGGTACTTGCCAGAAAATCAAATCCATGAGAAACCTCGTGGTGGAAGAAATAACGTAACAGTTTACGAGGAAATGCGAGAATGTTTGGAACATATGATAAACGAGAACTGCATGCTTACATTGACGGCGATTAATGCAGAGCTGCGACGTCGTTTACCCGAAAAGCGTTTCATAAGTTACAGGATTGTCGGAAACCACTTAGATTGTAGGCTCTTCTAATTAAAACTTGCGAATTGTAGACCGGCAGAGCGCAACAAGACCGATGTGATTCTACGCCGTCTTGAATACGCACCTTGGCTCTTGGAAGAAGCCAATCTTCACCACCCGGTATTTATAGACGAATGTGGCTTCAACATATGGACAGCCAAGAGTCAAGTCGCTCGCGTATTGAAGATCCTGCTTATCGTCAAGTATGCGGCCAGAAGGGGCGTAATATCACTATTGGTTTGGCAATTTTGCCAGTATATGGTGTACTATACCATTCAATACACTTGGGTGCTATGACAAGAGATCTATTTAATCAATTCCTGGTAAAGACATCCAGTGTGCTGCATCATATTTGACGGAGTGCCATGTCATAGTGGAGCGTAAATGCCAGAACACCACGCAGAAACCACAATTTTTCCTCCTTATAGTCCATTTTATAATCCTGTAGCACAAGCAATAAGATGCCTTAAAGCCAACATTAAAGCTGATATTACACGACCAGAAATACAAGAGGAGTTAAATAACCGACAGGCAGCTAGGAATGCACAGTTGCCCTTAGGTGAATAACGAAAACAAATCCTTATCGCTGCAGCAGAACGAAGCTTGCCATCCATTACACTAGGTTGGTTTCGGCATATGCAAGCCTATCTGCCCAAATGCCTTGCAAGCGAACATATAGACGGTTAAACAGGAACATCTACATATTTCTTGTAAATATTATTGTGTTGTGTGTTAATGTCATTTGTTATCATGCTATTCCAAAACGCTTATGAATGAACGCGAAATTCTTTTGACATTCGTTTCGCGTTATTGATTTTCGCTATACAGAATGCATAATGAAGTGATCTTATTGGAAGTACAATTTCCATATTAAAGTGGTTATAAAACGAATTTTTTGTTATGCTTTTTATGAGCTTATTGAAATATTTGGCTTTTGAGAAGCAATTTGGTGCATAAATGTCTTTCGTGCGTTGAGTGTAACTTAACTAAATTTATCTCCAAACTTTGTCATTTCGTGCGAACTTTTTTGCCGCCATGTTTGTTCGTTGTGACGTAGAAACGAGTACCGCCCCCTAAATAGTATTATTATAGCATGCGAGGTATTTGCAGTGATTTTACAAACTTTTAAGAGTAAAAACCAAATAATTTTGTTTGGAATCAAATCAGAGTCCTTTTAATACAAGCTTTTAAAGGATATGCGGTAAAGAGTTCTCAAATAGTAATTAATCACACAAATTTTGAGTATCTATAATACTACCTCAAAAACAATTCATATAAGCACCTTAGCGATAGTGCGATATTTAGGATAAAATTTTTTTGTGCACGACAACCAAGCTTTTGTACAAGAAAGAATAAAATACCGTAACAAGAACTGATGAACGGACATTATCCTTCTATACACAAAAATACTTAGAAATAACAGTAGATTCTCTACAACTAGTGTTAGTGTTTATTCAATGAAGATTATGTCTTTTGATATAAGTTGTTTGATGTTTAAAGTAGTTATGCAACGAATTTTTCACCTTGCTTTTTATGAGCTTATTTTGAAAAAGTTACTTTTCTGACTAGAATTCTGAAAAAGAATTAAAATTGGTTATTTCAAACTGTTTCTACAGTCGCCTAAAGTTGCGATTTTTATCAATTTTCATGCGAACTTTTGACATTGGCCATGACGTAGACACGAGTACCGCCTTTAGACACAGCGTTTAGAATTAATAGCGACGAACAACGACGTAGTGAAGAATGTTGTGTTCCTGGCAGTTTGAACTAAATCAGTTGCGATAATACTCCACAAAATAAAATAATAGCTGTTTATTTGTCTTCTAATGAGAAGACAGATCGTCAAAAGCGAATATAACGAGTAAATTTTGTCCACAAACATAGCCAAAATTTCGACGCTATTGCCACATCATGTCTATGCTCGACACACTTTATCCACAGGCTCCTCTAGAATTTTCTGAAAACTGTAATCTTAAAATGGAAATAGACTATATTTAAACCATAATTCAAGTTTTGTTTGATATGCAAAATATAGAATTTCTTTCCACGTATCTAGTTCTCAAAATCATTCATAATGCTTCCAAACTTTTAAAGATAATTTTTTTGTTGCTTAAATGCTTGATTGGGATTTATTTCTGGTTGTTATTTAATATTTTTCCTTTTTGTTTTTAAGTACCTAAACAATTTTTAAGTTGGTCATCTTGGATTACGCAATCGTAATTTAATGACGTCATAGGAAATTTGAGCTTCTACATCAAAATTTGTTGAATATCTATAAATGTACAACCTTGAAGAGTTTTATGCATTTTATCACGAAAAGCACAATTTTGACATTTTTTAAGCTTATCGCCTGGACTATTATTTGGAAGCAGCTTATATGTTTTTTATAACGATGACTCAAATTATTTGTAAATTAACCTTATTGGTATTAATAAATTTTTATGTTCAAGCATTTATTTTATATGCAAGAAGCTATTTATTTCATTATCTTGGTAAAATAACATTTTGTTTTGTTTGGATCTTTCATATTAATTAAAGATTGGAAATCTACCAGCAGAAGACATACAAGGAAGAGAAAAATCATCTTAATCAGATCATTATGAAATAAGTTGTCTTAGTTAATTATGTTTTTATTTCTTTAATTCAAATCATTTTCTTAAAAGAAGCATTTTATTTTTTGCAGCGAGGCAAAATTTATCACAAGGAAGTAAACAACTCGTATGTAATAGAACACAATCAATACCATAATTCACTTAACTTACTCATTTTTAGATCAACTACAGATCTAAGTTCTATTAAGTGGTCAGGGTCAATACCTAGGCCGTTACGAAGTTCTTTGAATTCAAGGAAGAGGGGTGGTGAAAATGAATATTTACCTGAATTTTACCTAACTAATAATTTTACCTGAAAAATATGCTGCAAATAAAACACATAGAGACAGGTGCAAAGATTTCAAGGGTTTTTTTTTATAAGAGGATGATGCTAAGAATGACACAAATTAGCATGTCTTTGTCAAGCATATGAATACGGAAGGCTAGCGTTTTAGCCTAAATTTTAATTGTATTGAAGACCTATTTATTGAAGTACTTTAGATGGTCACATGCATATCTTGTGTTCTAAAGCAACTGGTCGAATGTCTTCACATTGTTTTAAGCACACATAGTCACCGATTTGGAAATGGTCCTGTTAGAAACTTTTCATTTCCTAAACCTGTAAATCGTTTTTTACTGCATTTTTGAGAGCTTTTTCAAACAAGTAATTAAGTAAAGCAGCAATGCTATTCATGCTCTTTCCACAAAAGTGTGAACCCGCAGTCCTAACGCAGTTTCCAAATTCTGTCATTAGCTATTCAAAATATAGCCTCTTCATCACCCGCATGCCTATTCTTTTAATTGACAAAAGAAAATTTGATGAACTTCCTCCTTATCTTTTGTTTTAAATGCATTCGGCTCATGTAAAAATTGACGTTTGAAACGGGCCCGAGTAAATTTAATGTAACTGCAAAATAATGCTTGTAATGCATAATAAATAATACTGCTGGCAACTGTTTTAGCTGTATATTTTTGACAAACGTCTTATTGCATATTTTGATGCATTCATACTGAGCACGCAATTACCTGACATTTTGGACAAACTTTGTTGAAATTTACCAGAAATAAAATTTTAACTGTCATTTGTGGTTTTACACCCTTAATAATATCGGTTTTAAACACATATCTTAAAGGGGAAAAAATACTCCTTGTAAAGACTTGCTGATCGCTGCTCAATTTCGTTAAACAGTTAATGCACATTTATCCATTGTTGGTAATTTGCCATTGAGTACACTTGGTCGGCTTGTGTTGTAATTACATTAGTGCAATTACATTAGAACAAAAACCATATTGATCATAAGATTTCTGAGCTCGATATCGGCTTATTTTCTTTTTCTTTCGAAAATTATACATTATTTCGTTATCATATTTTGCCATGTTTTTATATAGTTTTCGATTGTATTTTTTTGGATTGTATATGGTCGAGTTGTAAGTTCTGATAATAAAGGAAGTAATTCGGACAAATCTGGTAACAATGTTTAAGGAACATTTTTATTCAAATTATTTTTAGTTAACATATATGTACAGTGCATTTTTATGTACTTTTTTGTTGCATTTGTTTTTAGTTAACATAAACATGGTGCATATTTACTTCTTTACCTTAAACTTATAATTTTGGCCTCTTAACTTTAATATATATTTTTGTTTGTTCCTATGTTTAACGAGACAGACAATAAGTAATGATTATATAAGTCGTTTAAACTGTTCCAAATTTTCGAATCTAAACAACAAAATCAAAGAATATTAAAAAGTTTGCTCTCTCTGTAAAAGTTATTTTTAACTCAATAATAACGAAACAAGAGGAATTGGCATTTAATAATTTAAGCTAGTTCATAAAAGAGCGAGTAAAGAAAGCTCGGCGATACACAATGCAATAAAAGCGCTAAGAGCTGGGTAATTAATACAACGAGGCAATTTTGATTCATTTTGCTCATGAAACAATGCCTTTTACGGTTGCTATAAAGAAGCAATTAATGAAAAAGGGTGTCTTAAGCTTTTGAATTAAATGTTTCATACAAGATTTTCTTTTTTTTCGACTACATTAATATTTTGCACAAAATTGACTAAGGGCTTTTCACATGAGCGCTGTAGCCGGGATTCAGCGAAGCGTTAAATTAGATTGGCAAATGGAAAAGATTGAATACTTCACATCAAAAATTTTATCTGAGCAATTTCACATTGCTCTTACTTTTGAAATACACAAAACTTTTAAATTAAAGAAAATAATGTAGCCTGATTTGAAAATTACAACTAAAATGACTTATGAATCTTAAGAAAATGTTGCAAGTTTTGCGCTTTGCTCCTTTCAATGACTCAAAATCATTTCACGCCTCGCTTAATCCTGTTACCGGGCTCGTGTGAAGAGCCCTTAAAAGTGAAGCAAAGATAATTAAAATGCAGAGAGGCAAAATAAAAATCTTAGAGTTTCGTACATATTTTTAAGAGAACATGAAAGACAAATTCCCTTCAACAGAAAATGCATATATGCTTTAATGAGCCTATTTTCTAGCTAACGTTGGTGAATTTTGCTGCAAACTTTGCATCGTCTTTGTTACATTTCTCAGTTAATTAGTTTGATAGCTTATGTCGAAATTTATATGTATTCCAATACAACACCCTGGAAGCAAAAGAGGTCTTAATTTATATATAATGCTTTACAAAGGATTTCGTAAAATTTTAAACTTACATTCACAATCATGTTTACTTTGTAACACGAATATAGTCTTTCTGAAAATGCTTGGGATCCATCATTGCTAACTCTTGGAAAATTTCGGACGCACTTGATTTGTTTTCGTCACTCAAACAAGACACCATGATAGAATGCAACTTTAAATAAAATCATATTGATTCATGTGTTTGCAAGTACAATGAGACTGGAATATTTTTATCATTACAGTTTGACACACAGATTTCCAACATGACTGTTTCAAGATAAAAAAATATATGATCAGAGATATAGACTATTTATGCAACAGAGGATAATAATATTATAAAAATAAGCAACACTGTTTCACAGTATTTAAAACTAATAAGTGTTTTGGTGTAGCTCTAAAACTAGAGTCAGAACTCTCTGTTCCACACGTAGTGCGGAAATTTTCCTAAACTTATTACTGTCAAAATAACCAGAAAGAGCTTCTCGTAGATTCAATTTCTTTTCTAAACTACTCTTTACATAATATATCATAGAAAAATCTGAAACTCAATTATTTTAATGTGCCAAATGGCCGCTTGCTGTCATGTATGATAAATTCCATGCTTACCTCAGTACTGTTCTCCAAATTAGGACAAACATCAAGCAACGCTTTCAGAATACTTCCAAAGCCCTTAACATTTAAATTTTTGTCATTCGTCTTCTGCATATGTACATCATCACTCTGGTTTAAACACTTTAAAGCACTGAGACCTCCAAGGATAGCACTTTTAATGATCAACTTTAAAAAAACAAAAAATAAAAACTAAGAATAGCAAGCTGAAACTTTTATATTAATGGAAATTTCTGTTTTGTATTGCACTCGGACGACACTAATCATTTTGGGGAAAACGAACATGTCATATCCAAATAATATTTTTGAAAATAATCTCAACAAAAAAATTGTATTGCTATTTCACTAAGTAATGATGTCGCCATCACGATGTATTTTTAAGGGAAGGGGGATTTTTCTATATGCATGTTTCGCAGTTTTAATATTTTTGAAATCAATTTTATTCTGTGGGTTAATAGTTGCTACATTGTAAGTTATATTTCGGGAACTGACTCCGGTCGAAATATATGAGAATAGAGGTATAGTCCACCAATCCGTGTTTCACATAGTGTTTTAAAAACTTGTGTCTCAAGACGGTTGAGGCAAAAAAATACCACAATCCCACTGAACTTACCCGTCCCGTGAGTCTCCCGTGGCTTTTTCACCTTGTGCTTCAAGAGAAACAGGTAAGATTTGCTTACGCAAATATATCGCATTTCAAGACTGTTTTTCTGTGTTTTTTTTTCATAGTTTTACACTTCAGATTAAAATTTACTCTATGTCGGGTATCACAAACGGAAAAGATCGCATTGACGCGATTTATCACATCGCTCTTCGAAGGCTAAAAAATCTCTGTCGTCAACAAAGGGGCCGGACAATAGCACAATCAACGAAGAAATGATACAGCAGCTTCGTACCATCTAGTCAACTGTTGGCAAACTAAGATCTAATGTATAAGCTTGCAATAAAAGGTTTACCTAGCTTGAAGATTCCAATATTTATGTTACTACTATATATTCGCAGTATGAAAAACATGACGAGGACTCCCTTTCAGTTTCGACGTGAAACTAAGACCTCACTTCTGATCCCTTGGCTACTGAGCCACATGAGAAAAGCTATAGATTTACCAGGACAAGCTATTAAGCCACCAGAACAGGCTATTAAGCCACCCAATGCTGCTAAACACACTGATACTAAAGACGACATTCGTTGGATACTAAAGACGACATTCGTGAGAACAGACCAATCTCATCACCTGGTCGACCACAACAAATCTAGTGCCGCTCAAGCTGCTCTGTACGACCCGGAAAACATTACAATTTCGTGTTCACTCTTTCAGGAGTTTAAGGAGTTCTTAGAGAAAAAATTTCGAAGGAACGTATCCTTTGATAACGTGTGTGACATTTTAGAAGAGGAAACCATCCCTCAAGTAGATGCACTCATCGCTCCCACACTGGATCTTCAAATGTTGTCTCACATCTCCTACCAAGTAAAGAACTTCGTGCAGGAACGAAATAAGGAGATCTCAGTCACAGGCCCATTATGCTTCTTCCATGATATCTTAAAAAATAATATACCTGTACACACAAACGACATCAAGCGACTTTGGGGAAGACTTCCTTTTAATTGCACCAAAAGGTACGGAGCTTTCTCGGGGATTGGCAAGGACTCTAGCCCTGTAACTCCCAAATATAACATAAATCAAAAAGAAGCACAAAGAAGTTTTTCTCAGTCTTCAAAATATAAAACCGAAAACAGGAGAGGTCGGCTTTTTTCTCCAACCAAGTTTCGAAGTCTGACAGCAGACCCAGTTATTTTAGACATGGTTTCCGGTTCAAAAATTCATTTTCGTCAGTTTCCTCTTCCAGAAACTCCACAAATTACTCAGATTCGTAGAAAATCGGAAACACACGTGGATATAGAGATATTCAAACTTATAATGAAGGGAGCTATTTGCGAAGTCCTGTACACGACGGATGCATACAACAGTCGAATGTTCATAATCCAAAAAAAGGACGGGGATATGAGACCGGTTATAGATCACAGCTCTATGAATCGTTTCATAGAAACACAACACTTTCAGATGGAACATCTTTGATCGGTGAAAACCATCCTAAAACAGGGCTATTACATGACAAAACTGGATCTCAAGGACGCATATTTCTCTGTGGCAGTCCATCCTCAATCTCAAAAATTTCTTCGGCTCCATTGTAAAACTAAGGCCTACCAATTCAAGGCCTTACCATTCGGCCTAAATATTGCTCCGATGATCTTCACTCGACAAATGAGACTAGTTGTGAGTCATTTGCGGAAACACGATGTACTTCTAGTGATTTTTCCCGACAATATGTTGATAATAGGTACACAACCGGAAAAAACAACTCTTTTCTCTCATATGACAATGCAGTTATTGGAATCTCTCTGATTCATAGAAAATAAAGAGAAATCCATCCTGACCCCGCTCAGATGATTCAGTTTATTGGTTTCATCATAAACTCAAACAAAATGAGTTTATGATGAAACCAATACCCCCGGAAAAAAATATACTTTACATCCTTAGCGGCCAACTCCTAAGAACGGACAAACCCTCACTACGAAACGTAGTTTAAATGTTGGGTTTATTTGAGTCATTCTTCCGAGTCATCCCTCCTAGGCATCTGAAAGGCTCCTCTCCATTTTCGTGTCCTCCAAGCCCTGCTTATTTGTAGCATACACAACTCAAATTACAACTACGATACGAAAATCAAACTTCCGGAGAAACAGAAGCTGAAATTCGTTGGTGGCTTCAGAACGTTTCGTCAATCAATGGCAGCCCAATTACAATACCCACACCGGATGTCATAGTTTTTTCCGATGAGAGATGGGTTACGGTCAGCACCATTGCCCAAAACAAGGAGAAATGATCTGAAACCGAGGAATTGTCACACATAAATATTGAAATATTCTCGAACTGAAAGTAGACTTTCTGGGCATCAAGTCCCTTTTGAGAAATTGTCGTTCAGTGACATCGTTGCTTCTTAGATAAATAACAAGTGAGGGACCCACTTGTTACAGTTCCGAGAGATCTCACTGAACATGTGGGGTTGGTGCATTAAGAGACATATTCGTCGTAGCTCAAAACTTACCAGGCAGGACCAACTCCTAAGCAGACGTCGAATTCAGATAATTTCTAGACTGCACCGACTGGATGATCGACCAAAAAATAATGAAACCCTTCTTGACGAACTGTCGAATAGATCTATTCGCTTCTCACGTAACAAGGCAATCGTCGAATTACATCAGTTGGAGGCCGGACCCAGAAGCTCGACACTGGGATGCCTTTACTGAGAACTGGAAGGAACTTGCGGGATATGCCTTCTCACCATTCAACCTGGTCATGATGGTTCTCTATGAAGTGGTAGCAGATCAAGCCGAAATTGTTCTGATAGCACCAGTTAACCAGTACTACTATCCCAAAACAAATATCTCTGGCAGGACCCATCCAAACTTGCTCTGATTCATCGAATGTACCCACGTCTGCACTTGGGGTGTTTAATATATCAAGCAACGTTACGAAGCAGAGGGCTTTCCCGAAAACGTTACTAAACTACTCATAGCTCTACTCCCAAAACCTACGAATCAAGTTGGCAGTGTTGGAGCCGCTGGTGTCTTCAAAGAAAAATTAATCCTATTTCATCAAGCTTGAGGAATATTCTAAACTTTTTTGCCGACTCTTTTGATTCAAGTTTGGAATATCGAACATTTAATGTTTTGAGATCTGCCCTATCATCAACCCGTCCACGAATCGACGGGTACCTTGTCGGACTACACCCACCCACATGTCATTAATCTATTGAAAGGTATTCTACATAACCGCCCCCCTCAGCCGAGATATTCGCACACGTGGAACGTTCATACTGTAACAGCTTACTTTCAACAAATGGGAGACAACAACACCTTATAGTTTAAGTACTTTTCCCTGAAGTTGGCAACTCTCTTTGCTTGGACATCCCCCAAAAGAGTGTCTTCATCTACAAAATTGGACCTAAGTCATTATCGACTACCACTTTTCACTTAGACGTAATAAAAGTTTCCGCATTTTATACTTACATCCCAAAGGACATCAAATTATTATGCCCTGTAGCCTGTTTCAAACAATACATTTTAACAACCAGGGAGCTAAGGAAATTCGACAAGAACAAGCTTTTTCTTTCTTTTACCAAACCTCACAAACCAGTCACTTCCTTAACATTTGCCCGTTAGATTCGTTCACTGCTGGAATTAGCGAGTATAGACAAAAAAAATTTCAAAGCACATTCAGTTGGGGAGCTACAACATTAGCCACTGCTAAGAGGTCAACTTCTCTGGAAGAAATCCTAAAGATGGCTGACTGAAATAATGAATCGACTTTCAAACAGTTTTACTACAGACCAGTATTACCAAATCCAAACTTTGGTCGTATTAGATATCCATGTTCAAGTTCAAAAGATCTTGTACCTACTAAGTAAATATTATGTACTATTACTGTTTGAAAGTAGTGTTAAACTCAACCGCTTGTATTCTCGTATATTTCGACTGGAGCTCCCAAAATATAATTCGAATTATTCTACGGCTGCTCCAGCCTGCAAGTGTAATTTCGGTTATATTAGGAAACGAATGGAGAAATACATGATCCCTGCCCTTAAAGCCTCCTGTCTCACCTTTGGGGAAAAACAAGCCACAGGAGACTCATGCGACGGGTAAGTTCAGGGGGTTGTGGTATTGTATAGTCTCAGCGGTTGTGAGACATAAGTGTTTTAAAACGTGATGTGAAGCACAAATTGGTGGACCATACCTTTGTATTCTCATATATTTCTCTCTTCGTTCCATGATTTTACTGAAATTATACTTGCAGGCTGGAACAGCCGTAGAATAATTCGAATTTCTCAGAATAATTATAATTCATTTCTTTAGAAAACTACTTCAACATATTGTCTTTCCAATGATTGAATACAAAATATTTGCATTGTGCTTCAAGTAAAAAACGGGCAGGCCTCGCTTATGCATGCATTTTAGTGTAAAAAGTTCCAGCTCAAAGAAAACGGCTGAAGGTGTTTTTATATGAGCTGCCGCTCCAGTTTGGGGAGGCAACAAGACTGTACTCTCTTCTTTTAAATATTTACTTCAATTAAAAGACTAGCTAAATAAAGTTATGCACATTTGAAAAATAGGTGAAAAATACCTAGTGAAACCACTGCCTATGACGGTGTCAGCACGTATTTTAGAACTTGATAATGTATGATGTTTGAGTTTTTATGCAAAATACAGTATTTGCGAACGTTATAATCAGGCACTGTTTCAAATGGTCCTATGTTTTTATGTTTTTTGGTCTAGTTCGCTTGGCATTTGCCATCTAGCTAACAAGTATCACACTTTTTGAAATTCACATTGAGATATCTTCATTGAAACAAGCACGACATAAATTTTCAAGCAAACCTAACTCATTTTGAAAAAAAGAATTCTATACATTTAATTAATCCGACTTTTCAATTACTATATATTTCAGATAATGTAAAATGGCAATATTATTCTAACGTTTTCATAATTCAGCATAACTGATTTTGTGTAAAAAATTAAAAATCCGCTTGTATCAATTCGTTTATAAAAATTCATATTTCTTCATGACAGAGTTATCAAATAAACTTAAAACTAGACTTCTTTTTCCATTATACAGAATCTCTAAACTTCTGTTTTCATAAAAATATCGTATTTCATTGTAATAGAATAAATTCTTTTTCTAGGAATGAGTTTTCAAGTATTATTACGATCTATACCTCAGAAGAATGCAAAAGGTTGATATTCTCAGGGAGAATTGCGTAATGGACAATATTTTTTGACGAGAGAAAATCGATGGCCTCAATAATATCACACGAAATGATATAAACTGCTTCTTCTGTTAATTTGTGCCGTTTCTCTTTCAGAAAATTTGCCAAAGTCTCTTGTGAAGCCAGTTCATAACAAATCACACTAAAAAACGAAAACGATGAATTAATGTTATAGGTAGCTAAATTGTTGAGTTTTCTTTTTCTATCAAAATGTTGTTTTTGATCTGCAATGCATGTTTCAGACAGAACAAATTCCTTAGTTTGGTTTATATTAAACCAAAATAATTTATTTGATGACATCGTTGTACTCAATATCAATGGCTCACAACAAAGAAAACTAACAACATCTTATGAGCCAAATTGGCTTAAAAAAACTTACAAATCTGCTTCTTTTATGTCAAAAGCTATTTGATTGGCCAATTCTCCTTCGATGATAACATCACTCCCTATAAATTTAAAGATGTTTAGGTAAAAGCAAGAAAGCGTTTATTGAACATTTGAGAACTGGAGAAGTTGAGATATTACTTAATAATTATATATGTTGAATATAATCGCTCTTATGTTGTGTCTGTTAGTGATATTTTTTCAAAAACTTTTTGAAAGTTTGAATGTCTCTATTGCTTTACAACAAACCATAAAACAATTGAATACTTTTGTGTACACTCATTGGCGTAGCTAGAGGTCGTGCTGGTCTCGGTACGGAAAGGCTTTCACATGTTTTTAGTCGTGCTCTAGTCAGGCCACCACGACCAAATTATATATATTCCTGAACGCTGATTGGCTAGAAAACCTCATGGCCTTAGTCAGCCTTAGTTTGGTCGTGTTCTGATTAGATGACAACGACTAAAACATAAATTACTAATAATATAAAAGGCTGCATTGCCTTGTACGGTTGAATGTTTGCCTTTGGTTGTGCGCTAGTTTATCAGCACCAGTGTTTTATAAAGTGTCGAAGCATTCATTATTTTATTGTGTTGTTAGATTTATTTTTGTGCGTGAACATGGAAATCAATTAAGGGCAGTCAAACCTTGCTGCTAAAGCTCAGAGTCAGAGATATCGTTTTTAAGCTTTTACGAAGGATTGTCCTTTGAGGCAATGGTATGTATTAGAAAATACTGTTTTTGTATGGAACAATATTCTACCTCTATTAATATCTTCACGATATCTGTCTGAGAAACTACAAGTCTCTAAAGGGAGTTTATTGAACTAAGTGAAATCTCTTCGTTACTTCAGCTTTACCAAAACTGCAAAATTCTAATTTATATTGAAATTCAAATCTTGTCTGGGCTACATGCTTCTTACATGCATGCGCATTTTGCAGCATATTTGAATTTAATTCCTGATTCTCTGATAGAAAAAACATTTCAAGCACGGTAAAAAGTCTTCATTTCCACAAAATTCTTAGTACACTTTTACCTTTAGCACTCCAAAGAAAAGACATAATTTTAGAATGTCCACCTTCCATAGACAGCGACGAAAGTGTCTTTGTTAATTGACTCCATGAATCCTCATTTTCATTAGTGTAAACATTGATCAAACAAGGAGCACTTACACTTTTCTCTTCGTTCAATTCAACGCCAATGATTGATTTCTAAAAATAATCGAATCCACAATGTTTTGTAGGCAGAGAATATTATCGCTCATTCAAAAAAAATCAATGTCAGATTTTAACTCAAGTTGAATATGAAATTTGAATCGACGAAAAATGTTAAATTTCCAACAAGAAAGCAATAAGAAAATTACAGTAATGTTTTGCAGAACAGATCCAGCTTTAGGCAAAATGAATTAATATCTGCAATCTTGAAATCAGAATATATTTGACTGGCTATTTGGTTTATTCAAACATATTTTCCAACCTAGCTTGCATGCTTTTTTAGTAGAAAAATTATGTTCGACTTAAAAATTGTGATATCTATTTTCAAAACTTAACTCTACACTTTTAAGGTAAATGATAAACAGCAGTTTCCTTAAAAAACCAATCTTTAAAATGAAAATGGTTACCACTGAGTTTTTGTCTTGAGTAAACTGTGATTGTGTAGCTTGTAAACATCTTATTCTGGGTTTCGTTGCGGGGACTGTCTGGAGGCAATCGTGAAAGGTGTGTGGTTCAATAAAAGTACCCTCGGCTATCTTCACTTCATCGTCTTCAAAGCCTGTATTAAATGTTGCCAACATTTGATGAGAGGAAGCTGATGGTGTTGTCGCGGTACTATTTCCGTTAATTGGAACATGTCGTTTTGTCACTAAATAATTCATAACTTACATGAATGAAAACAAGCAAACCTATGTTTTGATAACAAGTTTTAACAAATCTTTATGTTTTTTTTACACAGTATTAAGTGGTGAAGCCACCCCGATCTTATACATCTGTAATGCAAAATTTTCTACAAAACCATGATTCACTTCTTATTATAGAAAGTTAATTATATACATTCATTGTTTTCTACAGTTATTGAACACAAATATATTTGCAATGTAAAAAAATGGCTGCCTTTGCTATTGACGACAAATTGAAAAAGTTATTATTAAGCGACCTTAACAAGACATTTCACTTTTAAAAGCTAAAAAATTACTTGGTGTGAAAACGCTTAAATTTGTTTGAGAACCTGGATAGAGCTGCCTCAGACCAAACTTAATAAGTCAATTGACGGATCTTATACACGTTGAATTATTTTAACTGAGTCTTCAAAAAGTTGGACTAAAATTCTTGCGTTCAACTGCATGATTTAATAAGAATTCTGATTGAAAATAAATGCTACTTCTATAGGAATACTTTTATTATTTAATGGGTACTGTTTAGGAACCCATTCTAAACTTTTGGCTTCAATTAATTATAGGTCATTAGCTGGAGGTTTGAATTTCACATGACCATGGAGTTTACTAAAACAATAACATTACATAGAGGGAACGCTCAATTTTACTCAACGAATTTTTTTTCAATGGAAAAGTAGTTGTTAATAGAAACATCCCCCTCTTAGGTTAGTGGTCCCAGTGTTAACTAGATATTCGACGTGAATGTAGATGAAAGCATTAAAATGCGTTGTACCATCGTTGTTAGCACACAATGGCTCTCTTCTGGTGAACATTTTGGAAATCTTTTCGACGACATAATGAGTGGAGAACGTATAAAGCAAGGGATTGATGGACGAATTTACAGGTAGAACAAACACTGCTATCCACGCATACACCTGTTTTGTTGGGTCATAAAGATTTCCTGTTAAAGCCAGAATACTTAACATAATGATTGGAAACCAACAGGCAAAATCGGTCAGAATGATAAACATCATTCGTTTTGCAACCTTGGAATCTTGGTTCATTCTTGTGGATCGAACCTACAAATTAAAGAATATTTTAACTTTTTCTAAAGTTATATTAAACCGGTTCCTGATAAGCAACCATCAAGTTTGCCTCTCTTTTACAGATGTTGCTAAACTGTTATCCTGATAAGAAACACTTTCCATGAAAAGAGTGAGTTTTGATGCAAGCGCACTTTTAAAAAAACAGTTTTCGTTACTATGGATTAACTTTCTTATATTGTTAATATGATGATTAAAAACAGGATTTAGCGAAATACGTACTGCTTTAGCTGATCTAGCAACTGTCTTATACATGATAACATACGCAAGGAGAATAAGTAAAAAAGAAAGGCCATTTAGTATGAGGAAGATAAATACAGAGTACTCCCATCCAGAAGAACGGTCTCTTGATAGTTGCATCGGAAGACAGACGGCTGATCGTCCAAAGAAATTGACATTGTGTGAATAATCATAGAAGTACGTATCGTAAATCAATGGTGTAAGAGAAATTGCCATGCCAAGTATCCAAACCACACACATAATAACAGATGCTCTCTTCAATGACCATCGTTGAAAACGAAATGGAAACACAATACAAATAAATCTATCCAGCGTAATCACAGAGAGTGTGAGAACAGAAACCTCACTAGAAATGGTCGATATTACTCCAGCAAATTTACATAGATCACTTGCTCGCCAATTTACATCGTGTTTGAAATACACTCCATCCCATAACTTGTCTTTGAATGCTATAATCAGCATGTAGACACCCATCAAAAAATCAGCAACAGCTAAGTGTGTAAGTAGAAATGAATTGACTGGATTAATATCCTTGACAAAAATCCGCCAGGCAATGACCATCAAATTTCCTGAAAACGCCATAATTCCAAGAATCCACATCGAATACTTTAGAACAGAATTTTTTAGCAGTTCGTCACAGCTTGATAAACCATCGTCTGCTTGAGAGATGCAGATTGCACGAGGGTTGCTTTGCTTTACATGACAGCATATAGTAAAATGGTCAACTTTTCTATAAAGAAAAAGACAAATGAGCAAGTTATCTTTTCCACTTTTGTTACTTTTATTATTGATTTTGCTATAATACATGACATTTGTGTCAAATGCATTTGACATAATTATTGATTATCATTTATTCAACTATTCGAAACTTGAAACCATTTATCAGAAAGGATTCTTTCTTTTGTTAGGTTAATAAGTTGTAAATATTTTTAAGTTATGATATTCATTCTTGCTAAAATGTTCGCTTATGTCCCTGATATATTTTTATGCAGCACTGTCTCAAAGTAAACAAACAAAAGATAACAGGAGTTAGTATTCTGCATGTGTTAAAATGAAAATTAACAGTTAAAGATGGTACGCAGGTCATGTGGTGGAGCTGATAAGCTCTTTTCAAAACTTAATGAGACAACACTGATACAAAATATAGGCTGGGAAATGTTCAAAATTAATGCCTAGATTAATATCCAAAATTAATATCCAGTTGTCCTATAGAATAGAGCAACCAGCTTGAGCAACTGGAAAGTCATTTATGTTTTTAGTAAATTAAAAAATTATGTTAAAGTATAAGACAAAATATAGCGTGCATAGTGATACTAGAAAGTGATTTAAGTGTTACTACCATTTTACTGAACAAATCAAATTAACATAAGATAAAAAGAAAGTATGGCGAACTTACTTGTACTGAAATAACACGTTTTATACATGTTTGGCATATTTTAATTTTTGTATTTGCAGTAGTGTGTACTTACACAAATTGAAGAGAGTAGAGGTGCCGAAATAAGCCATCCGGAACTGTTTGAAAACGATTGTTTGAGATGTCTCTAAAAATGAAAAATATGATTTTTACATTTTTTTGCTGAAATGGGAAATATATTTGCTAGTGAATTTTACAAAGTAAGACAAATATATGTATTAAATTGTTACAATTGAAAAACGTACTTACAATTCTCTCAAATTTTTCAAGTCGTAAAAAGCGTTGTGCTCTATTTTTTGGATTTTATTGTGTGCAAAGTTCCTTAAGATATAAGAAAATAATTCCGATATTGTAAGATCTATATAAGTTAGCAAAATTTATAATGTCATAGTAGATGAACCTTATTGTCTTTAATAAAAGCAGAAAGCTCAATGGTTTTTTCAAAGTTTTAGAAAAAATTAGCATAATTTTAAGATTATTATAAAGATTCTGTCAATCGAGAAGGCTAAAGATGTCTAGTTTTCTTAATAAAAATCAAATATAGCAACGCAAAAATTTGAAATGGATAGCGTTATCCATTGGATAGCGTTATCCTGGATAGCGATATCCATTGGATAGCACATTTTTTAAACGGTTAAAAAAGTTCTTAAAAAGGAAAAATATAAGGTTTGATCTGAGTAATCACTGAAATAAAATATTTTATTTAAAGTAACAAAATTTCTTTGTTGTAAAATTTTATTATCCAATGGATCATGCTGTATCCAAGCTTTGTGCAACCGGCCCCTGAAGTATGGTATGCCTAATTTGCACATCATATTGAAGTATGTGTTTTTCCTTTTATAAAACAATAAATTGATACAAATCCTACATCTTATAATATCAAGAGTATGAATAAAGGCATGCTAAAAAATTCTTTGAAACAAGTTAAAAATCCTTTTTGCACTATCAAAAAATCATGATTTAATTGTTAATTGCAGATAAATTCAGTTAGGTCTTTACCAAAAAATAGTAAAAAATATATGAGTTGATATGAGCTACTTATACCCAAATGAAATAAAATGTGTATATTCTTATTATACAGAAGCTGCCTTAGTAGTTTCAGACTTCGTGCAATCTACAGCATGTGCTTCAGTAATTATATATACATTATTAAAATTTATCTAGCTGTTTTTATAAAACCTCGGCATATTGAAATGGCATGGAGTAAACATTACCTCAAATCAAGCGTAAATAATGTTAAGTTGAGCCCCCATATATAATACTCTTATACACAATTAATAAAATTGCTTAAATGTCAAAAAATGTGTCAATGACATTCAATCTGACAAAAGTCAAAATGCAGGAGTATTTGATTAAGAAATCTCTGATTCAAAATTTTGCCATCAAAAATTGCCTTAGCTAAAACAGTTCTTTTTGAGACTTTCTGTTTATCTTGGTTTTCTCTTGAGTTTCATTGTTTTTGGGGTTTTATGCCATTCATTACAGCAATGGAAATTTTTACAGCTATATTTAATTTTTTTACTACCACCAATTAAGGCCCATTTTAAGCGTCGCATTTTACATGTGCCGAATGCAGTAAAAACAAAAGAAAAGGTAATAGATAAAATTCCTCATGTTCTTTTGTTTTAAGTGCATTTGGCTCATGTGAAATGCGACGTTTGAAACAGGTTCAAGTCTTTGTTTAGTTAATTCTGTGATTGTTTTAACTAGCACAGAACATTTCTGGCAAAAAATATAAAGTTTTGTCGTACAAAATTTGGAGTTGAGTCATGTTCCAAAGCCAAGAGGACTTGATCTTATCCAGTTTGTTTCCTTTCAAGTTTCTAGACAAAATATCAGGAATTAGATCAATCCACTGTTTATTTTTTTAATTAAGGTTAAAATGTACCATTAGACATAATTCATGTGGATTAAATATTTGCTTATAATTATTTCTTATTAAGATGTGTAAGAAAAATTGTTAAATAATATACACTAAGACTAATAAATTTACTGCATACAATTAAAGCAATTTTATTTTAGATTCAAGCTCTTTCAATTAAATCTCTTTTTATAAACTGCTAAAACAGGTTAACAGATTTGGTACTTCAGTTTCTGTACACTGCACTCACTTGATTCTTTAAGCAATAAAAAGAAGTTAAGAAAAATGCATTGTACTGTGATTCAGCTCAATGATTAAGTTAAGGGTGGTTTTTTGTGCATGTCCTGAATGATACCCTTTTTTATACATTTTTATCATAGCATTGGAGCACTTACAGAGATTTAAGATGAGACAAACCATGAAACGTTTTTTCGCCAATTTTATAAAGGACATTATAATCAAGATATCTATAATGCAAAAAGCAATTTATACAAAATTTAAATTTACAAAACCTCACAAGTCCATTAAAAACTTTGTAGGAGGAGCTGTAAAACAAAAAATCAATAAATTAAATATGTATATATCTTAGTTTAAAACCAGAAGTTCTCTCGTAGGCGGCTTATGTCAAAAACTTTTGGTTTCTTTAAACATAAGATGGTATGAAGTGGGATAAGTGGAAATCACGAAAGAAATATAAACACACACAATCACAAAGTAGACAGACATGAGGAGAAATGAAATTATATCAAAGCAACTGAAGGACAATGAAGTTTCCTTGGATGTTAAGAGATGGTTTCATTTTGTTCATTAAGAGGCTTTGAATAAGAAGCTCTTGCGAGTCTGAGCAATAAGAAGTATTTTAAATTCCTCAAAGGTGGTAGTGTTTTCTGTGAATTTAAGGTGTGATAGTATAGAGGGATGAATGGGATGTTTAGAAGGTTTGTCAGTGAAAGGGGTGATGCCCAAATTAGAATGTGTAGGTGGCGGGTGGTTTGACCCACGAACGATGCTGAGCAGCAACGACACTATTTAAAGAATAGACAACTTTCAATTTCAGAGTTTTTGGAACTTTGTCTTGAAAGGAAACAGGCTGAAAAGGCGTTTTGTGGATCGAAACAACAATCGTATTTCACAGTGTGAGAAAGTGGCACGGCAAAGGCGATTGATTTGTTTGCTGATTTGGGATGAGTGTAAACCAGTCTTACATGTCGTAAAATTTGTTTATATATGACAGAATAGCGATCTTCAAAAGTAAGCATAAATTGACAAAATTCATAATGGTGCCGTTCATATAATACCCTTCTTCGCCTCCACATTAGCTACTTAAAAATTACAATAAAATTGTAATTATATTAATAGTCAGGCAGATAGACATAGTAAAATATAACTTACGGTTTTTTGGGACAATTTATTTTTGTGATAAATGTATAATTGAAAGGATGCTTAACACGATTCCGCATGTTGGACACTTTGGGTTTACTTGAGGGATGATTCCAACAATATTTTTCGCTCCCCTCGTATTCAAATTAGTTTGACGCCATGTTTTATGTTTATTTCATGACAAGAAGCGAGCGCGCAATGCATTTTGACCAGCACCTAATGGGAAACGTCACGTACTATTAAAGCCTTCACCAGATAGCGCAATTAAAACATAAAAAAGTGCGACAGTAATATTTCACTATTGAATGAGCGAACATGTCCAAAAAGCGGAAATTAAGACCATTTAATATATGTTTAACTTTAGTTCCACCTTAAAAACGAAAGAAGGTCAAAAGCAATGCTTGCAGCACACATTGTTGAAACCAAACGATCGAAAATATACAAATTTTAGTAAAATATCCAGACAAGCAATTAATAAAGCTGTCCAGGTTAGGAAAGAGAATAAGGGATTGAAATAGTTCCCTCCTGGTGAGAGGAATTGCCAGGGCTTGACTACAGTTTTTACCGAAATGCTATCAGAACACATGTACAGCAAGAAATTAGATGATGTAGTAGTTAGTAATTAGTGATTAGCAGTGGCGTAGCTAGCGGTCCCGCTACTCCCGCCCGGCGGGAGTAGAAATTTCCCAAAAAAATAATAAATATTCTATTTGGACATAAGATATACATTATTTCACGAACAATTTGTAATATTATGTTTTATTCGTTCATATTTACGCTTTTATTAGGTGGTTCGTAATCGTAATACAGCAAAATCTCAAGATTTGTTATGTAACCTAGCAACCGCCTTTTCTCGCACATTGTATACTCGCGCGATTCTCCACGTATTCCGCCCATCTTCAGAGGGCGGAACATACAATATAATTCTATATAAGAAGTTTTGAATTCTGGTTGGCTAAGGGACTTGACGCATGCTCAAATCTGCTCTTTTTATAGTCGAACTCCCGCTATTTTAAATTGGCGGAGGTTGTAATTATTCGACCTTTCAATACGAGTACAGCGATTAGTGATTATCAAATTACGTGTCATTGTCGGCATTAATTTTCCATTGTGTTTACTCTCAAATTGCTATTTTGTATTTGTGTATGACACAATGGCTTCAAGTGCGACTGCGATTTGCTCAACTGATGTTGATTTAGTAAATAGCTTATTAGCTAAACCGTTCTCTGCTCGATCGTCGGTCGAACAGAATGTTATCGTTCATGAACGGCCTACTCCTGATTTAACTATCCAAAATAAGGGAAGAGCATTTCAGAGAGATTGGTATGAGGCGAAGGACTGGCTGTGTGGCAGTACAACCTTGCAGAAAGTGTTTTGTTGGCCATGTCTAATGTTTTCCCCAAAAACATGGCCATCGTGGGCTAAGAATGGCTACAACAATATGCGGAGTATTATGTCTGATGCTAAGAAGCATGAAAAATCTAAATCGCATTTGACTGCATTTAAGACATGGAAAACGTATGGAGCTAGTGAACGAATTGATTGTCTTATGTCCCTCGCTAGAAGAAATGAGATTCAGCGTCACAATGAGGAGGTAAGACAAAATCGAGAAATTTTAAAAACTGTTACTGAGGCCGTGCTGTATTTGTCAAAGCAAGAGTTGCCATTTAGAGGTCACAATGAGTCCGAAGGTAGCTTGAACAAAGGTAATTATAGAGAGTTGCTCGAATGTTTTGTTAAGTTTGATTCTGTATTTGAGCGTCGACTGCACAGTAGACTAGCAGAATCTGATATAGTTGGTGACAGAAGATTTACTGGAGTCTCCCCAGAAATTCAAAATGGTCTTATCAGCTGTCTTGATTCAATTATTGAAGATGAAATCAGAAAGGAATTAAATGATTGCACATTTATGAGTATTCAGGTTGATGAAGCATCTGATGTCTCCACCAAAGAGCAGCTAAGTGTTATTGCTCAGTTTGACAAAGCAAGTGAAATTATGGAGAGGCAATTAGGATTTGTGGATGTAAGTATGAACAGAAATGCCACAGCAATATCACAAGGTGTCAAAGATAAACTTGGTCAGTATTCTAATATAAAAGAAAAACTGGTTTTACAAACATATGATGGTGCTTCTGTCATGTCTGGCCATATCAATGGTGTTCAAGCATTGGTTCGACAAGAGTATCCTTTTGCTCATTTTGTTCATTGTGCAGCTCATAGATTGAACCTGGTCCTATGCCAGTCAGCCTCATCAATTTCTCCTGTTAAAATCTTTTTATTAATATAGCTACATTCAGCACATTTACAAGCAATGCCCCAAAAGAAAAGCTTTTCTCACATCTAACAACCTTGAGTTTCCTGCCCTGGTGAAACAAGATGGTATTATCGCTCTAGATTAATCAATGTATTGCACAAAAACTATGAAAAACTTTTAGATATTTTTGAGGGGTACTTGAACAACCAGCTGGGTGGGATGATGAGTCATTAAGTAAAATAAGTGGCTTACTGCATTATCTTGATAGCTTTCTCTTTTGTTTTCTAGTGTGTGTTTTTTACAGGATTTTAGAACAGTCCACAATTTTGTATTCCATTCTTCAAAATAGGGAAACCCATTTTAACTATGGCATAAGCAAGATTGACAATTTCAAGCAGTTTATTGTGTCACTTCGCACAGATCAAGCTTTCACCGAGTTTTACCAAACTGCACTAGAAAAGTAGGCCCACCAGCAACCAGAGCAGATAGTAGATACAATTACAAACAGCTTTATTTTGAGATTATTGATTCCATTAAAGGCATGTTAAGTGAACGATTTCAAGATATTAATCAGTTCGAGTTTTTAGACCTTGTAAATCCTAAACTATTTACTACATGGAAGGGCATAGTTCCACAGGAGAAGATCAATCTTCTCAAAGATAAGTATAGTCCTCTTTTGACATCCAAACTTTGGAGAGTCAACTTTCCTTCATTTACAACGACAAGGACTTTCACAAAGAGTGCAGTAATGAGGTTCTTAAATACATCTTCAAATTTAATCTCCAGTCGAGTTTAGGTCAAGTGGTAAATTTGTTAAAATTGAATGGTGTGTTGGCAGTGGCAAGTGCTTCAGTTGAGAGGTCGTTTTCTTGCTTAAAAGGGTAAAAGCTATTTAAGAAATAGAATGGGTCAAGGTCGGCTTAGCTCTTTGTGTAGAATATCTATTCACAAAGATATCATTGAAAAGAAAGAGGAATCAGAGGTGTTGCATAACGAGGTGGTTGAAAATTTGTAGAAAAACCCAGGAGGCTGGCCTTTCTTTATAAATGATGAGTATAGTATGTGTTTTGATATTTGTTCGTATAATACATGGTACTTCATTGAGAAAATTAAGCATAACTTTAAAGAATAAAGCCATCCCTGTCTACTTGCCCCAATCTAAACAAGTTTAAACTAACAAGTAGAATGCTAAGAAAAATCTCTCTATGCACTTTAGAAGTGTCGTATACTATATTATTTTTGTGCTAATACAAATTTCTTCTGTTTATGCAGGGGCAGTGATGAGTAAATTATGTTTTAGGGGACAATTGTCTCCTGCGTAACGTTTCTCTGAGCCACCTTTAGTACCTTTTAACTAGTTGCAGTTTCAACGATTGCCACATTAAGAATGCAGCTAACAAAATGGGTTTTATAAATTATTGTACAACAAATAATTCGCCCTCAAAATCGCAGGAAATGCTTTTTCCAAGGCTCTGGATTTCAAAATTTTCCGGGGGAGCATGCCCTCGGACCCCCCTAGTGGGGTCGCGCCTCCGGCGCGAGATGCATTGGCGGAAGTGACTATTTTTCCTAGCTACGCCACTTGTGATTAGTAATTTTATACAAGTTAGTCTCAGTCTCCAATGTCAACGAGCAATACTGACCACCAAGGCATAATTTTTCTCGGAGACGTTTCTCGCATTCATTTAACAAATTCACTTTAATTTTACGTACAACATTTATTTTTTAGAAAATGTAGATAGTAGTTAAAATATTTATTTTCATACACTGATTGCTATGTATATCATTAGTTATGCAATATACGTAAATAAAATGTGTGAACAAGTACAACAATTCAGCAATAAATAAAATAGCATGTCCTTACTGTATAAGAAAAATATTCGACAAAAAAATTTGTATATATATATTAAAACGTTAGCTATTAAGGATACAAACTAAAGATATTGAGGATACAAAGCATAACAAAAACGTTAAACTGAAAATGATGCTCCAAATATGCAGGAAGAGGTTATTTTGACTCCTGAGAAGTGAAACTTGTGATGCGTAAGTCACGATTACTGATAGGCACAGAGGCGTAGCTAGAACATTAATTAGGGGTGTGGGGTGTGCATATTCATATATTTTGTTGTGTCCTACTGATTTCTTTTGTAAGTGATTTGAATTTCAAAAGAAATTAGGAAACAACTGAATATATGAATATACACCCCCCTCCCAATTAACGTTCTAGTTACGCCCCTGTATAGGCAGACACTAATAGCACAGGAACTTGTTACGGGACTTGTTACCGAGAAATTACCAGTAATGATACGCAAAACAGGACCATAACGACGAGGTTTCCCAGAAACTAGTCGCTTTTATCGAGCGAGAATAAAGTTATTAGTGCATGGTTGTGAGTGATGCGCATGAATGAATACGAGAAACGTTTCCGAAAACATTAAAAAGGGTTATAAAAAATTATCAGTCTTCCTCGTTAAAATTCGTTAAAATTTTAATAATCTCTTCTTCATCCCTGTTTTCCAAGACTTATCTTGGCCAATGCATTGCTGTGTGTATAGTTCTGATCGTTCTGATTGCATGTCGGTGAAAACTGTAGACAAGTCCTGGCAATTCTTTCCCAGCAGTGAAGTAATTCAATTCAATCTCTTTAATCTTTTCTAACTTGGGCCGCTTTATAAACTGCTTGTCTAATTTTTCACTGAAATTTGTTATACCTTCGGTCGTTTGGTTTCGGCAATGCATGATGCAAGCATTGCTTTTGACCTTGTTTCGTTTTTTAGTTGAAACTTAAGTTAAACTTGTATCACTTATTAATTTAAACTTATTAACTTAAGTTAAACTTATATCAATTTTTAATTAATCAATTAACATTTAAATATTAGCTTAATGGCAAAGTTGATTTTACAGGAAATTTACTGAAGACAATCATAGTTTTAAGTTCTTTTAAACATTTGTAATTGCATTAGGGCCTCTGTTGATAACAAGTGCATTTAGCACTTGACAGAGCTACCCTTTAGATAAAGATTTCATTCATTCAAATGGTTTTGATTTCAGCATTTTGTAAATATTCTTTCGCTCAATAGTAAAAATTACCGACGCCCTATTTAGGTTTTAATTGCACTATCTGATGAATGCGTTCATAGTAAACGACGTTTACCATTAGGCGCTAGTCAAAATGCATTGTGGGCTCGCGTCTTGTCATGAAATAAACATAAAACATGGCAGGTAACTAATTTAAATACGATGGGAGCAAAAATGTTGTTGGAATTATTCCTCAAGTAAATTCAAGATGTCCAAAATGCACCTTTAAACTATACATTTATCACAAAAATGAATAGTCCCAAAAAACTGTAAATGTTGGCAATATCATCATATTTATTTATAGAATGCAACAAGTTCGGATTAGTTACAATGTAGTAAACATTTTTTATTTATGCATGCGAAGGGGTAAGCGCTTCCTTGAATTTCAGAGTGAAAGAAAAGTTGGCGGTGTCTAGGATGCAAAAACAAGAATGATTGTATTAGGTTTTACATTGTGGTGAAGTGTGGAAGTGCTTGTAAATGTGTGAGTTTTTGTCAGAATGTGTGTGCTCTTTGATGCGTGTGTATGGATGGCGCGAGTTGTTTCACCAATATAACGGGAATTACATCCGAAGAATTCGTATACAACGCATGATTTGAGAGTAAGGAGGGAATGGTGTCTTTGAAACTAAAAATGTTTTTTTATTTTAAAGAAATAGTAAACAGGTTTAATGTCCAGGTCAATACAAAAGCGCTTTGTTAAGTTTCATAATTTTTGTCAAGTAGTGTGAGTTGGAGCCAATGTAACGAAGTTTATAATAGTGAGTGTTGCATGGGTTTCGTTTGATTGGATTCGTTTGATGTTAGTGCGTCTGGCTGTTTTTTTTTGAGAGAGAGATTTGATAACTTTATCTATGAAATGGAAAGTGAAAGAATTGCGTTTTAAAGATTTTGCGATCTAGGACAAATTAAAAAATTTTTAGGGCAAACTTAAAGAGAAATACTCGATTAAAGTACGCAAGCGTAGTTTTGTCGAAAAACTCAATAACGAATTGAAACAACTTTGTTGAAAATATTGCTTCTTTTTTAAAGCTACTTCTATCATTTCAAGCGTTCTTATTGGCTCACAGGCCAAAATTTCGACAAGAGTTCTCATTGGTTTAAAATTATCGCACCTTGTTAAATGACATTTATAGCTAATGCAATCTTTTTGCCTAATACCTTCAACTTAAAAATCATTAATTATTGTAAGGCCTTTTCTGGAAACTTACAAAATCTTAGATTCTTGTTTCGAGAGAAAACTCTGTTTTCTAAAATCTTCAACGAATTTTGACGAAGACTCCTAGAAAAAAAAAGATAGCATCTCGTCAAATAAAATTGACTTAAATCTTACGAAACTCCTTACTTCATCTATGTATTCAACTGTTTTCAAAACTTACAATACATTTAAGTTTTTCAAAGATTTTAAAAATGTGGGATGTAGTTCGTCTATCCAGTTCATGCTGAGGTCTCTATAATGAAATAAAAAAGCATTTCAATGTTCATATAGATCAATGCAAGCAGCTCAATAAAACACACAAACTAAACAGCGATAAAAAGAAAGACCTAATTAATATCCCGAATAGGTTGAAAAGTCCGGCACTTCTCTTAAAGAGTTTACTGATAAAATAACTCTTGTATAGGGAAAATTCGATTTCTATACTTATCATTGCTTTTTTTATAAATTAAAAAATAAAAGAGTATTTCAAGCTCACTGAGAACGACAAAACTGTGTTGTATTTCTAAAACTAAAAAGAGCGTAGCCAACCAATTAGAGGACCATTTAATAGCTATTGCTGCACTCGTAGCTAACAATTCATTCACTTTGAGATTGAACTGCAATATAGCACAAAAAGCCACCATTTCTGGATTCATTAAAGGAGTAAACAAAAACTTTAGTAAATAAAGTGTAAATACTAACGTCACGTTGAATCTGTTTATTTTATTGTTTAACTTACAAAGTCTCCATAGTTTTTACATGATGCAGGAGTATTTTCGGAAGCTTTGATATATAATTAAATGACAAACGACTGCAAAGAAAAAAAAGATTTTTCAAATTGGTATATTTTACGAAACTATAGATGCATACGCCAGACAAAATAAAGATATAAATAATCATGCAATGATATTTTTTCAATGCCATTTTCCTAAGAAGAAATTTAAGTAATTTTATGTGTTTGAAATTAAAGTAATTTATTACATATTAATTAATTTATGTACATATTTCCATAAAATGCTGTACTTACAGAGTTTTTAAAGACGTCAATCCGTTGAATGCTTTTTCGTCAATTTCATAAATTTTATTATTTGTCACACTTCTATATAAAGGTAATTATAAAAATAAAACTAGAATGGTCTGAGCTTAAATGTATATATAGGGAAAAAACTGACGAACAAATGGATTCATGGTGGGTAGAAAAACAATGTTTCGAAAGTTTAGTAAAAATATAAATAGTTCATGTAATACACGCGGGCACCAAAAGAAATCAAAGTAATTCAGAAAATTTATTGTTGACTTTTAAGCTAAGAAGATTGCGATAGGTGATTGTTAATTATGAGGCGCTGAAGCGGATAAAACTGATGTGTTCCAATTATTTCATGTAAGCAGTATTAAATATTTCTTTCAAGTTGCAAATAATTGTTCTAAGTAACCAATATTTGTTCTGTGCTCCAATTATTCGATCTGAGAAGTAAATATTCGTTGCAGGTTGTCAATATTCTTCTAATTTCAAATAAATTATTCCTAAATAAATTTGGATGAACTTTGAAAAATTCATTCCAATTGTGCAAAAATGAGTTGGAATTGTTTTCAAAAATACGTTCCAATTAGGCATAATTATGATCCTTTACGGCCTTGTTTGCATAATTTATTTAAAGGTTTTCCAAATTATACAAATATGGCATCGCCAAACACTAAAAAAGGTTTTTCAGGTTTTTACAGCAAAATCAGTCATTGCACAAATCCAAAGTATTTTTGATGAAGATTCGTTTTTGAACAACCCAGAAGCATCACTTAACGCGCTGGAGAATCGTAGAGCACGAAATGCATGATGTTTGTGCGACTTTCATTGTATTTCTTAATACAATGAATATTGGCGATGGTCATTTGTGGTCAAATATATCAGATCTTCTTGCCGTTCTAATTCTAATTAAAATTCAAGTAAAGAACGAAGCGGAGAGTATACAAAATGGGAAAACTCAAAGCTCATCCTATTGGTCCTCAAATGACACAAAGCACAAATATAAATGGAGGACGTCCTCGCTATTAAATCAGCGAAAACCAGATTGTATTTCGTAGGTCCAAACATTTTACCTAGGCAAAAACAGCAAAAATTTTTGAAATCTCTGAGTGAGCATTACGCAGAAGAAGAAATGACCTTGACTTTACACTGGAAAACTTTTCTTTAATTTCGGACGAGGAACTTTGTCGCATAATTCAAAATATACGGAATTTAACGCCAAATAACGGACAGTCGCTCATGCTTGGGACTCTTCGCAGCAGAGGACTTCGAATCCAAAATGTAGAGCTCAACAATGTCTACGAGTAGTAGACTCAGTGAAAACAGCTTTGCGTCGCCACGTAGCCATATATAGAAGAAGATACACTGCTCCTTACCCTAACTATCTATATGGTGCTTGGATGAGAATCACAAAATGATTCATTGGAGATTTGTTGTACACGCCTGTATTGATGGTTTTAGCCGTATGATAATCTATTTAACAAGCGCTGACAACAACCTTGCATCCACTGTTCTTTTCATTTTTTTTAGAGTGGCTGAATATGGTCTTCCCTTAATGACAAGAAAAGATCATGGCTTACAAAACGTTTATGCAGCCATCTGTATGTTGCATCACAGAGGGACGAACTGTGGTAATATCCTCACCGGCAGATCTGTACATAATGTGCGTGTTCAGAGGCTACACAAGGATGTGCATGCTAGAGTGCTACGGCATTATGTCAAATCAGTTTATAGACCCAGTTAAAAATGTTGATCTATGCACAATGATGACTTAAACTGGCTAAATGCATAAGGTTGAGTGTAACATGAAGAATAATCAAGGCCTCGCGGTTTTAGTATGTTTTATCTTTTATAGCAAAACTGAGGCAGATAAAATATACCTAGATAATTCTTCATATAAAATGAAAACCAAATCGAATGGTTGTTTCATTGTTTATTCAAAAATTAGACATTGAAAATTGTGAGAAAGGTGCAATGTGCAATAACAAGCAAAATTAAGTGTTCTTTTCTATCTCGCACAATTTGCTTTATGTTTTGCATGAATGATAATATAGTAGCATGGGAAAATTTCTCATATCCAACGCCATTTTGTGATAGGAGGATTTCCCTTATAGCCCATCAAACATGCAGACTTTTTTCAATTATTAATCCTAGTAATAAGCTTCTTACGATGCTACATAAAACCTTAATTACCTTCTACTTGAGTTCTTAAATCTGAATCAATAACTTGATCCACAACAGCATGGCTTTTGCAATCAAATTTACTTGCAATGGTTTGATTTTAGGTCATAACAACACAATGGGTATGGCCAGGTGTTGTAGCAATTTCCCTCTACAATTGCTAGAGGGGTTTCTCCATCCCTTAAGGATGAAAAGTAATACCTATTTACTTTAGGGAAGAGAAAGCTATTACACACATAAAAAACATTATTATGAAACATCATTTAATTTGAAAATATAATAAAGGTCAAAAATCACTATTGCAAGTATGATGGAATTGTGTAACCTTTTTTATCTTTACATATTTTTCTTTTAAAATGTAAGGCTTCAACAGAATACATTCACTTTTCCGGCATTGGCATCAGAAACGTTTGCTAAATTGATCGGCTGCAATATTCCATAGCATGCCTTTTGGAAAATTCATCAAAACGGAATGTCATACACATTAGTCATTGTGTAGAAAATTCATAAAACAAAATCCAACATGACAAGCCTAGCTATGCAAAGTCTGAAATATGAAGACTGCCTTTGTTAACAAATAAAATACATAGCACATTAGAACTGGAAAAATAGCAATGAAGCTTGCAATTAACACAGTGCCAGGCTATTGAGATAAAACACCAAAGACTTCTTGATAAATGCCATGCAAGGAATGCTGTGCTAGCTTATCTACATTTAGGGTCCTGTTATGCAAATGCTCTCGTGTCTTCGTTCACATTATATCATAAAATAAATAATTGTTAAAAATTTTTTTAGAACTGGACGAAAATTGTCTATCAATAAAATTAGTGGTGTAATCATGTATCTACTCATTACAATTAAAAAACATTACTCTCAATACAATTTGAAAAGAAAATGCTCACTTTAGTGTATTCAAATGGACTGTCTTATAAACAGCTAAATTGTTCAACAATCTGTCATCGCAGAGTCTTGCTATTCAAATGAGTTTGGACTGGAAAGCCATAAACCACATTTCCATACTTTTTGAGTGCAGCTAGAGCACTGTTAGTAGGCACGTGATGTTCCTAAGGATCAATTATAAAAACAAGATTTTTGTAGATAGTTTTTCCTACATTCAGTTCTTTACGTTTTCTTTTCTTTCTAAAAAACAAGGAGGCTGATCTTATTGTGCTTGAGCTTTCTCTTGATGTGGAGTCAGGAGTGGGAGCTCGTAGAACCACTCACAGAAGAAACAGAAGGATCGTTAGCACGCAACGTTGGGAATCGCCTATGCAGCTCATCAGATAAAGATAAGGCCATATTATCTTCCTAGATTTTTTGTTCCCTTCTTTTATCTTTATATTCACACCACTTAACTCAGACATGCGTTCTAGGGCTTCTTGTATCATCACCTGGCAATCTCGACGAGAAACATCCTTCGATGACGCCATTTTCAATTGTGACGTGACGGCTGGACGTCCCAAGGTGAAATGTCACCACTGAGTGACATCTGAGCACAGTGACACGTGCACGTCACGCGCAAAACGAGGCCGCAAAGATCATAATTAGAAAGGATTCATGTGCAATAGAAACGCATTTTTGAAAACAATTCCAACTCATTCTTGCGCAATTGGAATGAATTTTTCAATAATTTATTTTAAATTAGAACGAATATTGGCAACTTGCAACGAATATTTACTTCTCAGATCTAATGTTTGGAGCAGAGAACAAATACTTGTTTTTTAGAACGATTATTTGCATCTTGAAAGAAATATTTAGTATTCCTTAGATCGAATATTTGGAACATGCTTCGGCGCCTCATAGTTAATAGTAGAAATTGAAGAAGATATTAATGCTATACAGCATGGAGTAAAGTACAACAGATACTACGTTCTGTCGATATAATCATTTTCAGATTTAAAAATTAACAATGTTTTTGTACCTACATCTTTTTGTTAACAATCCCTTTATACATACTGTGCACAAAATACAGGGAAGAACACTTTAAAATATCTGTTTGGAATTATTTACAGATAATTTTTCAAACTTTACTCAATTTTATTTTCAGAATTTTTGTTTAAAATATTTTGCTCAAATAAATTTTGCAAAATAGAGCAGTTTCCCTTCCGCAAAAACAATGCAGATAGCAACCAATTGACAGGTAAGATCGTTTTGTTGTGTTTTCTGTGTTCAAATGTCAGCGAAAAGTAGCTAACCCAATTCTTATTTGAATTTCTGTTTATCGTATACGACGTTCTGCGGCAGTTAAATTCCCTTTGGCACTTAAGAAAAGATGTAATTATTTTTATGCCTATAACAAAATAAACTTACAAATACTCCAAACGAGGGAGATTTTTAAATTGGAAAGCAACCATTCGGACCAAAGAACCGTCATCAAATTGTCTAAAAACAAGATAAGCTCCTACAATACGTAACTATGGTTAATTATAATTTGCACTTATATATTCAAGAGCCCAGAAAAATGGTTTTCACAAGTGGTTAATAGAGTTGCAGTGGTCTATTTCACCTCTGCAGTTTTTTCTACTAACATATGGAGCATGCTATTGATACATCATATATTTGAAAACTATGAATTGTTTTTTTTCTTACATAAAAAACTATCACGAGAAACGCTGAAGAACTTTAATTTTTTGGAAGTATTATTTTCGAACTAAATGCTACCATTTAATTTCCATTCACCGAACATGGCTTCTTTGCATTGTTGGATCATGCATAATAGATTTTATTTAATGATATTCTTTTTTAATTTTTGCAAAATTTTTTATCAAAATGTGTAAAAACTGCTAGATTTATTCTCTAAGTTTTAAAGCTATGAAAATTTAAGACGGTAGGAATGAGGAGTGATTTTTTTTTGTGAAGGATGAACGATGTAGGTCAACGGACTACAGTTGTCGTAATAACCCACCTCTATCCCAACAGTTAATAATCACTGCTATTGTTCACAAAACTAAGATGATAAAGTAAAAATAACAAAAAAATATATTTTTTAGTATCGTTGTTGTTCATTTCGTTCCTGTAAGAACAATAATGTCATTATTTACTTTTATTTTTTTAAAAATAAGCAGCAGGCGAATCCTAGTCTGCAATCTAGTTGGCAGTAGCTACGGGCTGAATTTTGCGATATTTGCTCGAGGTCCAAAAATCTAAAGCTAAATACTTAAGGAAAATCAAATTTATGAGCTCATATATTGGTTATTCCAATATGGCTATGAACTTGAACAGCCAGACTTGAACAGCCAAACTACTCATTTTCATAGACATTACATTCAAATCCTGCTTCTGAATCGTTGGGTTCTTTTATTATTTTCCCTTAACATATCTTCAACTGATTCTCCCAGCTACATTAATGATTTTGCTGCAAAATTAAAAATGAGATCGCCACACTTAACTGGGCATTATCACTAAAAATACGGAAATACGTATATGAATTACTGATAAGTTAAAGCAAATCTATTAAGCATTGTATCAAACTTGCTTAGCAAAGCTCATTCAATATGTGTTTACATATTTATTTGACATGTCATTTATAATAAATATGAAAAGCATAAGAAATAGATGTTTATGTTTGCTCTATATTAAATATTTACTCTCTTCAAGAAAGAAAAAATACATACCAACTCTACTCATTTCAAGGAGGTTCACAATTTAAGGCTAGCTCGATTACCAATTTAGTTTTAGTTATATTGTGAGACTTCTATAGAGGTGTCCCAAAACAAATCGCTGTCCCAGTTAATAAATAATAGTTGAAAACTGGAAAAATCAATTTTTTGCGATTGACAATGGTATTTCATAAAATGCATTTATACATTTGTGTGCAGCACTAAAATTGTTGCCATTAGGAATTTAGGACTTTTGTGAATATAAATTTAAAATACAGCTGTTTCTGAATTCTGTTCAGCTATAGTATTTGACAAACCTAAGCGCCACAGCCAACTAAACATCTTGTTTGATCACTAAACTATGTTCTATACTATGACCAAACACGTTTGAAATTCTTTACAGAACAAGCGTTATAGATCTGGCACGCGATGAGTTGCTGACAGTATTTATAATCTGTGCGAAGCAATAAATGAGATTTTCAAAATATTCGTACTAGGATCGTTGATCATGGCTGTAGGATTACATGCTGAAGCAGAAGAACTGTGAAAAGAATTAGATAGGTTTCCATGTTGGTAAAATAAATTTATTCCTCTCGGGCAGAAATCGTAAAGGCTTTGGTCAAGTTTGTTACCTGAAAGTATGTCATGCAATTTGAAAATTTCATGAGCAAGCCATGAAAATAGGCCGCATTGCGCGTGCGCAGATTACATAATCCAATCAGTCATAAATCTTAATATAGAGATATAAGGTTGGTCATGCAATTTTGAAAGTGCATGTCCAAACCATGCAGCAAGCAAACCACGCAATTTACGCGCAAAATTCGACGTACTACACCGAGAATGGGTTATAAATGAGTAGAATATTGATTGTAGATATTATTTCGGCTAAAACATAAAATAATTAGTGTACAAAAATAACAAAAAAGATAAATTAATTCTCAAACTATTTGCTGAACTAAGTTTGAACATTCTTGAGAAAATTTCTACTCGTACACTGTATGACCTGCATGACCACTAGTGTCGCCACTTGTTTTTTTTTTACTCACGCTTTGACGTTTTAAATGACGCTTTATGTGGGTCAGTGAATATACGATGAAACACGTGACTTGTGACATTGTATTTGAATGTCAGGATTCCCTTCAAGCGCTTTTTCTAACCATTCATGAATGGAATCTTCTCTAATTTTGCTCTAGTCAATGATTTTTTTCATTCTTTCTTTACCTGCTCTTACTAACACATTGCTCGTATCCTCACATTCAAAAGAACATTCATCCATCTTGGAAAAGTTCCATAAATAAAAGCACAAATTTTCCACATTAAATATTTTTTCTTTAATGATGTAGAAATAATTGTTGAAAAAACTTTTAAAACGTTCCCGTAGTTCTTGCAATGAACATAATTGTTTCGCTAATGATATGACTATTTCATGTAAGTTTTGTAAAATTATTTTGTGACTTAAGCATAAACTGTAAGCAAAAAATAACTATTTCATGATGTTTATGCCAAAATACTAAACGTGTATAACACAATAAATCTTCTATTGTTGCTGTACCCTGTGGGGTAGCATTTCACACAAAAGCATTGTTTGTTTTACAATATGGCGTCTATATCAGAAGTACGCCGCAAAAAGCTCCTTATTTCATTTTCCCCAAAGGTGTTAAATTGGCACTCTGAGAACAAAGTTTAACAACCTTTGCCAACAAGACTATTTTGTTAAAATGTTGTTCTATCTGGACTTATCAGACAGTATTAAACATATATTCCTTTTATATATTTTGTTTAATAACTCGTATAAAGAGAACAAATCTTAACGTTTATTAAGTATCATCATCGTCTGTAAAATCACCAAAGTTACTTTGGTGGTTTTTATTTTTTCTGATGAATTCGTTTGCCACCTCAACCAATCTTATCTCGTCAGTTATTTTCTTGTGTGTATATAATTATGCATCATTTTTCAATCTTTGTTCTTTCATGTTAGGTCTAGACCAAGTTTTAACCCTCCAAGTCATTGGGAATAATTTTTCTCCTTATGCCGATGTGGCAGAATTAATGTGAATCAGTTTGGAATATTTAACGAGCTTACTTATCATCGACTTTATTCAAGAGTTTTCAAGGCACTTAAAACATCAAGAGAACATTCGATCCTTTTGTCTTTCATTTACATTTTAAAAAGTTCAGCGAAAGATTTTCACATTTAACTGCGTTGTAACGTGTTGGCAAAAATGCCATCAGTAGCTTGTTGCCTTAAGCTTTTGCTTATATTTATGTTGACATTTTTGTGACAGTAAATTTTCCTTTTGCCTATTTGACCATTAGAAACTCTTTCAGCTTGTTAGTAGGCTTGGATGGATTAATTTAAGAATATCTTACAGTAAGAGGGATAAATTTGAACAATATAATTGTGGACCAACAAAAATGAGAAATGGACAAAATAGAGATGCTTTACAAATTAATTATCTTTTATCGGTTGCTATATATGACATAGTGCAAAAATATCTGTATATGAAACTTACATAACAGTCGTTGCAATTGGAAAAATATACGGTATTTCCATTAAATCCCGTGCAGATACCACCACTTGTGATTTGTTACCTCGCAAATAAGTGCAAACAACAGAAGAAGCACAGTCTGCAATGAAAATTGGAATAAGCAATGTGAAAAGGACATGAGAATTTTTTTTTCACTCGAATCACTCCTAGACGGCTTACTAAGCAAACCATCTATCATGAGTGTGAAATATAAAAGCATAGAAGCATTTATAACTTTAGATACACAATCTAAATCTAAATGTTTTAAAATTCGTAAAATTTAAGTTTAAAGGGTGCTGGTATATAGTAAATGTTATTACGCAACTTGTGCTTAAAACACGGGCATCTACTTACCTGAATACCTTACTACACCCAGCGATCAAGCGAATAATGTCAATATAAATTATAAGAACTCAGTTTTAGTTTCAAATACTTTTACAAAAAGCTACTTGTTATGCGTTTCTGAAGAATAAAGTATAACAAAGCTTTTATGAAATTCAAAACGTTAATAGAACCAAAAACGAGGAGCAATAATTTATTTTTATATACCTAGATCTGTCACCACTTTAATGACAAAATAAAAATATTCATGCTTGTATTTTTTACTGTCATCAAAATTAACACATATTAAAATATGCACACACATCAGTTTCTTCTAAGATTTCTGAAGCAATCGCTTTGTTACGTAATAAGATGATAAAGAACACCTTAAAAGCATATGTAAATGCTATAGACGCAAAACGACCTATAAAGAAGGCTTTTTGTGAAAACGTCGTTTAAATCTAAAAGCACTCCTACTGGCTAAAGCAAAGGTACAGCGTGAGAGAAAGGTTGGCTCATAGATCAATAAAATACAGCAACTTACTAGTTTTAAGAAAATGAAATATTGGCGAAAAGAAAATATTAGATCTATCACTATGCAGCAGATAATAGAGATTTTACTGCTCCACGAATTAGCTACAAAATAATAATCACTATTGGATAAAAGCCTTTGATATTAGAAAACTTACCCGGCATGTCTTTCTCTTTGCACGAATGAGTTATTTCCTCTAAAACATTTAAAACAAAGTTGCTTTGATATTTTTTGACAGATTTTAAGCTCTTTATTTTCACTGAAATTTGATTCATTATTGTAATCAATCATTTTGCACATATACGGTTTAATTTGTTCAGTGATTAGTAAATAACAGTAATATCGCTAAGATTGCGCTCTATAAACATTTACAATATTGGCAAAAATTTCAATTAAACCTGTTTATTAAAAATTTTAGAAGTATTTAAGTTGAATAAGTAATACAAACTGATGGTTTTTTATTTGGAAAAACTAAATTTGTGTAATGCATGGTGGCATCAGTTACTGAAACTGGAGGTTTTTCTCTCATGGTTATAACATTGATTATAGACATTCACAAGCTTAAACAAAGATGCTATTTTCACCAGCAATAGACATTTTTAATAAGTAAATAAGTAAAATTGATATACCTGAAACTGCTCGATAAAAAAGTTTGAAACCAGTACCAACGTTCTTGTTGTCGGACTTGAATATCACCAACAATGTATGCTTCTGAGAAGTGAAGCTTGGCGGAAGATCTTGTCCGCAAAACCCTGGTTCCTGATGTGACCTTCCATCGTCCTTAAACTGAACTGAATCTTTTGCACATTGTTTCGCTTCCTCTATGTCCAAATATGCAAACTCAACTCGTATACGCTGTCCAAATGGTACTTTTATTTCCCATGTCTGTTTCATATTGTTTAGGTAAAATGTGGGATAATAGGGTGATGTAAGAAATCCAAAGGTTTTGTTTGTAATGCTTGTGCTCATTTCTAAAAAGATGTAAAAGCGACTTACGATCAAAATAGACTAATATTTCGTATGACCTCACTTTAATTTACTTAAGTCACTATAAATGGTAATAATGTTTTTAATAGAAAACGTAACAAGTTTTGCTTTATGTTATTCCGCTTATTTTTATCTATTAAAATGTCTCAGTAACAATAGTTTCCTTTACAGATGGAAAAGTAACAAACACATATTGGTTAATTGTAACTTGAATGTAATTTAATTCTAACTTGAGACTAAAATTTATAAGGCAAACACACCTAGTCACACCTAGATTAAGGACTTGCAGCTTTCAATTTTTATTGCTCATAACATTTGCTCAGGAATTTGATGAAGTGATACATTTCAACATTTTATGTTTCAAAAAATACAAAATTGTTAAAAATTACCTTGTGCGTTCTGTGGTCGAGGATTGCACACACTTTCCTTGAAGACTATATTGTCAATACTAGCTTCACTCAAGTAATCAAGGAGTGATGCTTTTATGATAACCTAAAGCAAAAAAGTGAATTATATTTATATTGCTATAAATTGTCATTTGCCGAAAACATGCTTGCCTAAAAAATCTTTTTGTTATTTTATCTTGACAAGTGCAAATTTCAAAAACCTAATGCTGCAAACAGGAGATTTTTTTATTAGACTATTGCTTCATGTATTAATAATATGCATGAAAAAGTTTCTTAAGTCTGATTGAATAAAAACAGTGCACTTTATCGTAAATACCAATGGCAAAAATGTGAAACACAGAGCAAAACAGAAAAACAGTGCAATTTTTTGAAAAATGCGCTCCTGTTTGCTTAGTAAAATAAAGAAATGATGCAAAAGCCAATGAAGTTAAAATATTTCAAAAGCGTAAAGTTAAAGTAGTGTAAACAAAGTAATTAGAACGGCTGGCATAAGTTTTGAGTAAATTTCCTTTAGCGATGGAGTTTACAGTTCACTGTTTGCAAAGTGTTTCTGGATGAAAATAACACTGCTAAAAGTAGATACCTTGTTCTAGCTGCGTGTGCGGAGGCTATGGTGTGGAAAGTAATATCCGACGGAATTTAAAAATTGTTAATTTCTTCAACTTGTTGTTAAAAGCAGATTCCTCAGCGTTACAAGGATAGCTCTCCTTTAAAAGTTCGAACAAAATTACCTTCATGTTTTTGGGTGTGATTTACCTTTTTCTTGGGATAGTACAATCGTCATTGAAAAGTTGCGTAACTTTCATTTACGACTATTCTTTGACAGAAAATAATATGCTTCTTAATCATGTCCAAGCTAGAGAAATTTTGTTGCCAACGTGGAAATTATCTTTATGTTTTCTTACATAGCGAGATAAGATATCTTTCTTTGTAAAAGCAACGCTGCAATATTGACAGACACATGACTTCACAAACGTTTCACAAACAAAGCCATATAAATATATGTAGCTGCGTACTTCAAGTAAATAAGTTTTTGAAAAGCAAAAATACCAGCTCCATATATATTCACAGTGAAGTTTCAAGTAGTGTATGGGTAAAATATTTTAATTTGGCATGCCCAAAGAAGATTATAATCTGCACCAACTTGCTTTATCTTTTTGTTTATAATTTCAAGTCGAACTGCTATTAGCCTATTTACACCAGCCAAAAGTGCTTCATTAACAAAAGCGTAACCAATTTTTCAAAAAGTTAGAAACCAAGAACTTTATATTACAGGCAACATCAAACATCAAGCATTGCAGTCTGCTTTAGAAGTCTACTGAACGGCGATACAGAGAATGCACAACCCTTATGAGCTCAGAAAATTCATTGACAGTGAGAGCTTGTTAATAAAAATACTATTCTATCGTGACAATATAAATGATGTACTTCTTATTCATGGTTTATCACAAGAAGCATTTGAATTGAAAAATAGCAAGATAGATAGAATTAGTTGCGCCGCCAAAGCGGAATGTCGGAGGTTTTCGTAATTGCATGCTGTAATGATATAATCTGCAAAAAGGAAATATATTTCATAGAAACTTTACTTGGGCATATCGCGCATAAAGGAGCAACCCCCTCACTTATTGCATTTGGGGCCACACTAGAAAGAATACAAAAATACGTGCATTATGCAAATCAAGAATTGGTATTACAATTAAGACCTTCAAAATAGTAGACCGTAGGATGAGCATCGAAAAGATGCTCAGAAAACGAACTCCTTTGCACCCTTCTTGAGGCTATATAATTTTTACAGGAGTAGATAGATAATAACTTCTTAAACTTAAAATCAGTTGCTCCCCAAGCGAAACAGGTGCACAATTGAGCGAAATCTTTGTTCAACGTTTGCGACTTATGTGCTTTAATAAATTGAGCTGCTATTATTTTGTGCTATATACGCATGCACAAACTTGCAAAAGTCTTATTACGCACGCGCACTTCCGGAATTTTGCTTCTAAGTGGAAACATTCTTGTCATAAACAAAACTCTCATGGAGAAAGTTATACTTGAATTCTATTACGAATTGAGCATTTAGACGGCGTTATGGAGAATGTCAAGTGCCAAAGGTGGACACCAGTCTTTGTTTTTTGGGTTAAAGTAAATTTGTAGATTGTAGAATGCCATCCACAACAGAGAAATTAGGGAAGAGCTTTCTTTACTGGCACGGGTTGATGCTGAAAAGAAAGATCTTTCATTCTGTCTATGTATATATATAAGCAGAATTAATATGATTCCAATTTAGTAAGGATGTAATACCTAACCAAACATTTATAGAAGCATACCTACGAAGACAAAACTTTGTAATCTACTTGCAATTAATGCTTTCCTAACAGAAGTTTTAACAGTGAATAAAATATTAAATAGAAGTGAGGTAATTGTCGATAAATTGATCTGAACGTATATGTTATCAAAAACCAAGATTGGCATCAACGAAATGGATGAATCATTTATCTAACGAGCATGAAACATGTTTTCATTACAGTTATTTAATAAAGCATTAATTCTTCAATTAGGTTTCCTAAAAGTTGATATAAGTAGTATGAACAAGCAAGTGGACATTGTTGCACTGTTTGTCCTATTATTTATCTTAAATTTCAAAGTGATTGATATGTACTTACCATAAAATGTAACAATGGTATTGACCAAATTTAGCTGATATGATAAGTACTGTTTGTTAATCGTAAATGTTTTAGTATTCGTCAAAAATAGAATGCTTCCTAATGCTTGTTAAGAAATATTTTAGAAAATACAGGTGAGTATAGACATTTGCGTAACAATGTCGTTCTGTCACTGTCACTTTGTAATCCTCGGCAAATTTATATATTCTCCGTCATGTTTGATAAAGATGGGTTTTTCGCCTAGCAAACTTGTATTGTATTGACTGAAAATTAGCAGTTAATAAAACAGATTTTGACCCAACAACTGACAGTTTTTAATAAAAAATTTTATATCGTTTCTCTTTGCTTAACACAAAAATTTAATGAAAACCTTAAGGTAAAACCCCCATCTATCCTAAATTCGCGTGCTTAGTACATGTTATTCGGGTGTGCGCATTCGTAGATAGCACAAAATGATGGCAATGAAGAGCATGAATCGCAAACGAAGAGCATGAATCGCAATGAAGAGCATGAATCGCAATGAAGAGCATGAATCGCAAACTTTGAAGGAAGATTTTCTCATTTGTTCAACGGATTCTGGTTAAAAAGGTTATTATCTATCTACTCATGTAAAAATTATGTAGCCTCGAGAGAGGCGCAACGGAAGACATCTTTTGGATGCTCATCCTACGGCCTATATTGCAAATTATTAAAAATTTTATTAACCTTAAACTCAATGACGAGCCCAAGGAAAACCATTCCACTCTTCCAATCTAAAGACTGGTCAGATCCTTTAACTTGCCATATTTTCTCTTGTTTCATGTTTCTTGGTTGTACGTAAACGGTAAGTTGAGACGACTTTCCAAATATTTTATATTCAAAATTCATACAAGTCCCTCTGACAGCGTCATAGTTTGATCTCATCCATGGTGATATAAGTAAATAAATTGAATATTTTGAGGAATTTGGTTCCTTGAAGCATTGCAATCGATAACCTGTTAAAAATAGTTTTATTAACTAAGAATATGAAAAACAGTATAATTAGTTGACACTGCTCTCCTATTTTCTACCGAGGTTAGGGCATTAATAAACTAACTTAGAAAGAAAATATAACAGAAACAAACAAATGAAATATTTATGTTTAAGATTTTTATATATTTATAAAATATTCATCATGTCTTTGCTCAAAATCAAACTCTGGCAAAGGTAATATCAAAGGTAATATTTTGAAGTGATGATGAACGTGATATTTACCTTTTACAGGTTGACAACTTATTATTTCCTTACAGATATTTCCAGGAAAACATTTAATTTGCTTACTCTCACTAAATACTCTCCCGACTGATAAAAGGTTTCAAAAATATAGGTTTTTATCATCATCATTTTAATCAAACTGAAAGTTATTTAATAATACTCAGCCTTAAATTTTCAAAATTGTTAAAACATAAAACTCAAAAAACAAACTTTTGCCAGTTATGCACTCTTCATAATTGTCTGTTTTAACTGCACGTCTTGCACATGACTCTGCTCTACATGTATATCTGGAGTGGAAAATACATCACAGCTTGTTGCAAGCATTTTAACTTCGTTGCTTTGAAGAGCCCTTGACCAAAACATTGGAGGTTTGATTTTTCCCATAAACGCGTTTCGATTAAAATTTACTTGTCCTGAGCAGTTTGACTAACAAGAAAAAAATTGCAAAAAAGTTCCAAGTTATTAGGTTAAACATGATTTTTTTGTCATAGTCTTATTCCAAATATTATTTGCTTATTCGAGTTTATCAAACTGTTCATCTTCGTAAAAAGAATAGTTATATCTTGCAAAAAACAAAATCTGCAGCTCTTTATTATGAACATATTTTAACTACGTTGAACCATCATATTTACTTTGCAGATTGTTACTATCATATGCTATTTGACGTTTGCCTTTGGCTTTCATTACGTTTTTGCAATTTGAGTGTAACCTAGGTTGAATTGCTGGCATGTACTATTATCCTGTGCCATTTATTATAAAAAGGCGTCGTAATTTTTTGAATTATATTGCAATTTTTTCGGATTGTTTCTTGGTTTAAGTACCATTAGGCAATTATACTTAAAATTAGTCATAAGGTGAAAAGAAAAATTCTGTAAAGTCTTTAAAATGGCCCAGTCAGAGCTAAAATTATGAAAATCATTACATAGCATAATATTCTTGCATAGCTAGACGAAGATTTTGCTATACATGGATACAACCTAAACAAATAAAGTGCGATAACGCATCATATTTTAGGTCAAAAGAGCTTCATACCACTCTTTAATCTTGGGGCATTACAATAAAACATGTGACCAAGTACTGACAATTTAATCAAGTCCTTCTAAAGCATGTTCAAACACCGCTCGTTGAGCAAATCTATTTGGAAAAAACACTTCCTACAATACTCAGAAACTATCGTACCATTCCACATGGAACAACATGTAAGACCCAATCGAAAATGTTAAAGCAAAAAGAACTAAGTAATAAAATTCCATATTATGTTAAACAAAACTGCAAAACAATTATTTAGAAGTTTTGCAATCTGATAGAACGGCAAAACAAAAGGGAAAGGAATGTGCTGAAACACAACAGAAGGCTAAACAAAAATTCATCCAAGTTGGAGATTACGTCCTGGTACAACAAAAGCATCAAAATAAGTTTTCCACCTCCTTCCAAAGAGAGCTTATGAAAGCTATTAAAGTAAACGGACCAAAAATAGTTTATGAAAATAAGAATGGACAAATTCATCGAAGGAATTCAGCTTCTATAAAAGCCATGGTTTATTAATTGAATTCCATTCATGATATAGCACGCTGTCAGTCATATTTGGCTACACGATTTTAGAGAGTGAGGCAATGTTAAAATAAAAAATTTAAAATGCCAGCTTAACTGCAAAATAGGCAAAGGAATAAAATTGAAAACTTGAAGTTGTAGAAAGAAAGTTTCAGTGTATTTTTGTGTTGTTTAGTTACCTCAAATGACTGTCCTAGTGGACGGTCCACCTTTATCAAATCATGCCTATGTATTTACTATCCAACTAATATGCATATAAATAATATTCAATATACCACATCCACTGCAACGTTAATTCTAAGCATTTTTTCTATTATTAGCTACATATAATTTATTAAGATATAAACTTAATAATATATATATTCTTTACGTCTATTTGGTTTCAAGATACGCCCAGACCGAATTCTAAAAAATTGTAACTTAATTGCTTCTACCTGATGTTCTATCAAAAATTACTCATGACAACTCCCAAGGCTAGAAAGAAAGCCAGGAGATTTTTTCCAAAATGCTTTGATTAATGTTAATGCTGAGTTAAAGATAGAGGTAATTAAAAGGAAAAATTGACTCTAAAACATGTATCTCAAGGATGAATCATTTAAAGATATACAGCACCTCATGATAAAAGTTGTGTCTTTCAATTTAATGGTATATAATGTTATGTGTGAAGGCTATTTCATAAAATAAAAGTAATCCAACATAAAAAAGTTGTTATGAAAGCATAGAACTGTAAAAATTCGTAAAAATAAAGATTACTTATAAAAATCAAATCTTGCAAGACTTACATCGATACGAAAAGATTACACAGATGGGTTATTTGAACAGACATCTAAATGTAATTTGTAACATGCAAGCAAACAATCATAAATGAATCGCTCATCACTGTGTTTTTTACATCCTTTTTTTGCGGAATCGATTTAACCAAAAAAGAGGTTGGAAATGAGCTTTTCTGTATTTAAATCACGTTCTGTTACTGTCTTAAAACGGCGAGAGAAAACTAATTTACGCCATTACAAAATAATATTTACCTTTCCTATCATGACCACCATATATTCCTCAGGTGAAAATATGCTTTGTCCAAGCACTTTGTTTTCTAAATTAGTCCTTTTGCCATTAATGTAAAAACTCCACGTTTGTTCTTGGTTTTTAACAATGAAACAAATATGTTGCCATGCTTGAAATGACACATTGCCTTTTGCTGTCCTAAAAATAAAAAACAGTTGCAGGATAAAGCTGTAATTTGATCGATGGTTGTCTTTGTGATCATTACTGATTGGTAATTGATCGTCAATGTAGACGTTTGCAAAAAAATAACATGCCTATCCATTTTTCGTTTTTTGAAAGAAAAATTGCAGTTTGTACTTTTCTGCTTGAAACTAAAGCTGAAATAAAAAGTACAAAAATTAGTGAAAAATTGGTCTCAAGACCTTTGTATCTATTGAAAATAGCAATTGTTCACACCAATATATTTTGTCCTTTCCGTCATCTTTGCTTAAATTTTGTGCAAATTAAATTTTTGTGTGACGAAACAAGCTGGGCTGCAAAGTTGTCGTGTATGCATAAAAAATGATTTTGATTTGATTAGTAAAGAAAACTTCAAAACAATAGATGGATAAACGATAACAAATAGCAGAGTATCAAGCAGTTCAACCGGATAAGGGGGATCAAAGCAGTGATAATGATGATTTGAGTAAAGTTTCTGGGTCAGAAGGCTATGAATTTAACGAAGAATTCGAGTGGCCCAAGGTCGATTCCCTAGGTCGTTTTGCTTGCGCAAGAGTGGTGAGCGCACGTATTGTGGACTGCAATCGTGAAAAGTAATCTCCATTACTTTTGCGTTTGCCTGAAAATTTTAAAAATCATTGATGGGAAAATTTAAAATCAAACATGGCCACCTTCAACAGAAGAAAATTAATATTGTTACTTTTGTTATGGAGGCGTCCTCAAATGCGCAAACACAGAAAAAGAATCTCTTGTATAAAAAATCTTGTTTTTCTTTCCTATTCTTTCCTTTCCTTTCTTTCCTTTCCTTTCTTTCCTTTCCTTTCTTTCCTTTCCTTTTTTTCCTTTCCTTTCCTTTCCTTTCCTTTCCTTTCCTTTCCTTTCCTTTCTTTTCCTTTCCTTTATCCAAAATATCTTTGTAACAATCTCTATCCATTAGTCAAAAATTCACCTCACGCCATCAGAAATGCCACGACTTTCCTCGCCAGTATTGAAAACATTAAACTACGACCAGACGAAATTATGATAACCTATGACGTTACATCACTCATCACATCCATACCATTAGACATAACCAAACAAATTACAAACAAACAAACAAATGATGAAACTTGGCAAGCTACAACACAACTAGACAAAAATGACTTCCTAGACTTACTCAACCTTTCCCTCTCAACTGAATTCGCCTTCCAAAACACATACTACAGACGAATTTCGGGAACACCAATGGCAAAAGTCGTCATGCAATACCTCAAAACACAATCAGTCACAAACAACACAAACATTATGTTGACGACATTTTTGCCATAGTCAGGAAAGACAAAAGTGAACAAATCATACACACCATAAACAATACCACAAAGAACATTACCTTCACTAAAGACGATGAGCACAACAAACAACTTACTTTCTATGACATCCTACTAACCAGAACAGATGATGGTACACTAAACACACACGTATACCGCAAAATCAAACACACAGACCAAATACTCGATTTCAACAGCAATCACCCAACACAACACAAAATAAGCTGCATTCAAACACTTTTTAACATGATAAACACTCATTGTAACACCAAAGAAGCAAGAAAACAGAACGCAACAACTTATACTCCACATTTATTAAAAATAATTACTCTAGAAACTTCATAAACAAAACTATAAAAAAGTACAGAACAAAACACAAACCGACAAAAGCAACAAGAAACCGGACGAAACAGTGAAAATCGTCACATTACAACACATAAACGGAACATTAGAAATGATCGCCAGACTTCTTCGACCATTTAATATTAACGTTACCCACAAACCTACACAATAACTCAAATCGTATTTATCATCTACCAAGTAACTGCTAAAAGTTTGGACACTAACACAACTAAGGCCTACATCGGACTTTAAGAAAATGAATGTAAGACTCGCCACAGGAACCACACTGCCTTTTTCCGCCACAAAAAAACAAAGAAACTCTACCGAACTCAGTGAATACATGGACATTAAAAGACAAGTAAATCGCTCACGATATCTCATGGAACATCATTACTCACAACAAATCGTACAACAGCGCCAACAAAAGATGCAACCTATGCCGGAAAGAAAAATTATTCATCACCTACCAATCACAACTATCATCATTCAACAAACGTAACCAACTTGTCTCCTCTTGTCGCCATACACACAAGGCACTTTTATCCAATTTGTAATCGTACTTCCCAGCTTATTATGTAACTCTACCTTAAATTTTACCATAACTTCCTCTTGTATATAAAGTCAAACACATGCTTTTGTATTCATTTAATATTATCCCCTGAAGAGGAAGAAATCATGAAACAGGCTTGTCGCGATGAAATTGTAGTTTCTGTGTATTTTCTTCTTCTTATATATATATATAAGAAGAAGTGCAGGAGTCACCATTTTACTATGGTGATAGCCGGGAGGGCACATTGTTATACACTTTGTATATTACGCTCACTGCGCTTGCGCAGTTTGAGCGCTCTCGGATTGCGTAGAGAGTCTCATAAAGAGACGTTCACCGCATTCGCTTTATGCATTGCTCACCTATATAGGTTTGAGCGCTCTGGTGACTCTACAATACAATCCATACAATGTGTAACCGTACGTCCTGTGTCCCAAGTGCAGGAGTCACCATTTTACTATGGTGATAGCCGGGAGGGCACATTGTTATACACTTTGTATATATATATATATATATATATAAAATGAACTAAAATAAAATGGACAATTGTTTGCTGTCGCTACTCGGAGTTTCACGCCGTAGGGCGATCTTCAGGCAACTGACAGATTATATATTATTTGTTGGCTATATACATCGACTAAAAGGTGTTAAGTTACATGACGGCATGCACTAAACATATCGGAACGTTTATTTAAAATGTTCTTTTTACGTCCTTTCAGGATAAGTAGCCTTTCAGTCATAAATACGAAATCAGTGCAGTCATATACCGTGACGATGGCCTTGCAGTCATAAATACGAAATCTGGAAGACTCTGCGACAAAGAAAGAAAACCCTCTCACACCTATTTGACGAGCTTGGACTAAAAATCACAGCGATGACAAACCATGAACGCACAAACTTCCTTGACGTAACATTTGACCTTAATAACGACACCTACAAACCATATAGAAAACCCAACGACGAGCCCCTCTACATTCACAGATCGTCCAACCACCCACCATCAGTATTACGCCAACTACCCACATCCATCAACAACCGAATTAATCGGCAAAGACACCTTCGAAAATGCCGCACCAATTTACAACCAAGCTCTTAAACAAAGCAACTTCACCACCCAACTTTTAATCCATCAAACATCAATGTAAACACCACGTACGTAACTTTCCCACCATACAGCAAAACGTAAAACACACATCGCCCATGACTTCCTACAACTTATCGACAAACATTTCCCACTGACAACTCCATATTGCGGCAAACATGAAAACTTTCATAACCAGACACAACAAGACTATTTTAAAAGACTTAACCCAGACACAACCCAGAACAAGAACAACCCACCAAAGAAATGTAACTGCAGACAGAAACATCTATGCCCGACAAATGGCAATTGCCTGAAACCCAACGTGGTTTACAAAGCCGACGTGACAACGACTGACAACAACGAAACAAAACTTACATAGGTGTTACTGCATGCGCTTTTAAGACACGATATCGAAACCACATTAAATCAATTACGAACATTAAATACCAGAACGAGACAGAACTTTCTAATTACACGTGGACACTGAAAGAAAACAAACGTAACTACAACATTAAACGGGACTTCATCAAACAACTTCCACCTACGAACAAAAACCAAAGAACCTGCCGCCTTTGCCTTAAAGAAAGGCTACTTATCCTGAAAGGACGTAAAAAGAACATTTTAAATAAACGTTCCGATATGTTTAGTGCATGCCGTCATGTAACTTAACACCTTTTAGTCGATGTATATAGCCAGCAAATAATATATAATCTGTCAGTTGCCTGAAGATCGCCCTACGGCGTGAAACTCCGAGTAGTGACAGCAAACAATTGTCCATTTTATTTTAGTTCATTTTATCTTACGCTCTTCTAATACATAGAATATTGAGCGCTCTTTTATCCAGGAATATTATCCATAATAATAATATATATATATATATATATATATATAAGATAAAACGTTTCTCCGGAATTTTAAATGATTTTTATTGAGCTTTCGACTCGTTGCTTCGAGCCTTCATCAGAATGAAAAATATTATTTACACGTGCTTTTTAGCTTGGAGACGTTTAGAGCGTCTAATTGGATGAGTGGGTGGATTAATGTGATTGGATGGAGTGAAATGCGTTGCCATGGGTTTTTGTGTGTTGTTAATATGGTTGGTGTTAATAATATTGGGTGTAGTGTTATAGTTTTGGTGTTGTTTGTAGTTTTTTTGTCCTTTTTCTTTAGTTGTGAGTATATGATGGGTATGTCGATATGTCTGTTTATTGTGTCGTTGTCTTCACTGTACCAAGCTTCCTTAAATTCGCGTGCGTGTTTAGTCTGTGCGCGTCCGAGTACTTTAGTTTCTGTCCAGTCGAATGTGTGATTGTTTCCGTGGGTATGTTCTGCCGGTAGTGAGTTCGGATCTCGTCGTTTTATGGCGTTTTTGTGTTCTGTGAGTCTTGTTTCAATTTTCTTAGATGTTTGTCCTATGTATTGTTTTGAACAGTCTTTACATGGTATCATGTAGATCGCGTCAGTTGTATCATGAATTGTTGTTTTGTCTTTATGTTTGGTGAAACATGATTTGAGTTTTTGTGTAGGTTTGTGGGCGACGTTAATATTATGTGGTCGAAGAAGTCTGGCAGTCATTTCTGATGTTCCGTTTATGTATGGTAATGTGATGATTT